AAAACTGTCTTTGTTTGTAGATGACACAATTTTACATACAGAAAATCCTAAAGACTCCACCAAAAAACCATTAGAACTCATCGACAGATTCAGTAAAGTTGCAGGATACAAAATCAACATACGGAAATCAGGTTCATTTCTATACAACAACAACAAAATATCTGAAAAAGAAATAAAGAAAACAGTCCCATTCACAATAGTATCCAAAACAATGAAACACTTAAGAATAAACTTAACCAAGGATGTGAAAGATCTGTACACAGAAACAGAAAGGGAAGATATACATGGAAAACTATTTCATGTTCATAGATGGAAAGAATTAATATTGTTAAAATGTCCACACTACCCAAAACCACCTATAGATTCAATGCAATCCCTATCAAAATTCCAAATGGCATCCTAAAATTTGTATGGAACCAGAAAAGATCCCGAACAGCCAAAGCAATCCTGAGAAAGAAGAACAAAGCTGGAGGTATCATAGTTCCTGATTTTAAATTATACTACAAAGCTACAGTAACCAAAACAGTATGGTACTGGCATAAAAAAAGACACACAGACCAGTGGAACAAAACTGACAGGCCAGAAATAAACCCACACATATATCGTCAACTACTATTTGACAAGGGAGCCAAGAATACTCAAAGGGGAAGGGACAGTGTCTTTAATAAATGGTGGTGGGAAAACTGGATAATCACACACAGAAGAATGAAACTGGGCCCCTATCTTACATCACTCACAAAAATTAACTTGCAATAGATTAAACACTTTAACCTAAGACCTGAAATCATAAAACTCCTAGAAGAAAACATAAGGAAAAAGCTCCTTGATATTGGTCTTGGCAATGATCTTTTGGGTAAGACACCAAAAGCATAAGCAACAAAAGCAAAAGTAAACAAGGAGGACTACATCAAACTAAAAAGCTTCTGCACAGCAAAAGAAATAACCGACAAAATGAAAAGGCAAGCAACAGAAGAAAATATTTGCAAGTCATATAGCTGATAAGTGGTAAATATCCAAAATATATGAGCAATTCATACAACTCAATAGCAAAAAAGCCAATCTGATTAAAAAAATGGGCAGAGAAACTGAGCAGACATTTTTCCAAAGATGATACACAAATGACCAACCCTGGGAAATGCAAATCAAAACCAAGAGTTATCACCTTGTACCTGTCAGAATGGCTATCATCAAAAAGAAAAGAGACAGGGGCCGGCCCAGTGGCACAGGGGTTAAGTGCGCACGTTCTGCTTCGGCAGCCTGGCATTCACCGGTTTGGATCCTGGGTGCAGACATGGCATCGCTTCGCAAGCCATGCTGTGGTAGGCGTCCGACATATAAAGTAGAGGAAGACGGGCACAGATGTTAGCTCAGGGCTAGTATTCCTCAGCAAAAAGAGGAGGATTGGCAGCGGATGTTAGCTCAGGGCTAACCTTCCTCAAAAAAAAAAAAGAAAGAAACAAAGAAAAAAAGGTAAGAGGTAAATGTTGGCAAGGATGTGGAGAAAAGAAAACTCTGTATACTGTTGGTGGGAACATAAATTGGTTCAGTCACTATGAAAAACAGTATGGAGGTTCCTCAGAAGACTAAAACTAAAACTACCATATGATCCAGGAATCCCACTTCTGGATATATATACAAAGGAAATGAAATCAGGATCTCAAAGAGATATATGTACTCCCATATTCATTGCAGCATTATTCATAATAGCCAAGACATGGAAACAATCCAAGTGGCTGCCTATGGATGAATGAATAGAGAAGGTGTGGTATAAATATATACAATGAAATACTATTCAACTATGAGAAAGAAAGAAATCCTCCCATGTACGACAACATGGATGGACCTTGAGGATATCATGCTAAGTGAAATAAGTCAGACAGGGAAAGACATATACCATATGAGGTCACTTATATGTGGAACCTAAAAAAGCCAAACTCCTAGGAACAGAGCATTGAATGGTAGTTGCCAGGGCCTGGGGGAAATGGGGAGATGTTGCTCAAAGGGTACAAACTCAATTATAAGATGAACAGGTTCTGGAGATCTAACGTACAGCTTGATTATTATGTATTTACATACTTGAAAATTGCTAAGAGAGAAGATCTTAAATGTTCTCGTGACAAAAAAAGAAATGGTAATTATGTGAGGTGACGGAGGTGTTAACTGATGCTACTGTGGTAATCATTTTGCACTATCTAAGTATACCAAATCAACACAGTTTGCACACCTTAAACTTACATAGTGTTATATGTCAATTATATCTTAATAAAGTTGGGGCGGGGAGAAGAACTACTTAGAGACTTCCCTTTTCTCTTTCTTTGCTCTGCCTCTAACACCCTTCCCAACCCCATCAAATTCCCGAATGTTAAAGGACTGCCACGTCTATCAAGCCCCACTTTCCTCCAGAAAGTCTTGCCTAATTTTCCTACACTGGGAGTAAGTTCCATTCTTGAACTCTCAGAACTCTTTACACTTTTCTTACAGCAGTTAACAGTTCTCAGTCTTATACAGCAGTTATCTTCACATTTTAATCTCAAGTTCAAGGAGATGCACAGTAGCTCCTTGAAGGTTGATCTTACTCTGATTCACTTTTCTCTCTTATTCTCTTTCTTTTGAAAGAAAATAACACTTTTTCTGAATATAAGCATATATATGCTTATTATAGAAAACTCAGAAAAATATAAAGCAAAACAGAGCTATAATTGCACCTTCTTGCAATAATCCGTATGTAGAAATAAAACATAATACTACGTTAAAACGTGTTATACATATGTATACCAACTCATTTTAAAAACAACACAGGCCATATTATACACTGAATCTTGCCTCTTCTTTCCTCATTTAATGCGAGCATTTTTATGACTGGTTTATCATATTTCCCACAGTGCTTCAAATACAAAGAAGCTTCATTGTATATCTTGCTTTGGAAATTCAACCCTAGTGAATCTCCCCTTTGATAAGACACTATCGTATTTTTAGGAATGATAAAAATGTTGCACAGTATTTCTAATATTCTTTCATATGCTGATACAGTCCTAGCTTATTAACCTTAATTACTTTTTATATTTTTAATAATTCTTAGAAAACTCTAAGAGAAAACTCCAAGGTCTTGAATTTTAATACTGAAAAAAGCAAATTCCCACTTTAACTCCAATTAATCATAAAAAAAACCGCAACTGAAAAATGTGCCTCAGAATATTCTCATATATTACATACTTTGCTGTCCTACCCTAGGGTACTGCAGAGGTTCTGTAAAGCTATTCTTTCTCTTTTAAGCAATTTTTAGACATCTAGTATGAAAATTCTGTCACCAGGATACAGTCATTCCTAAATGATCACAGTCATTGTAAACTAGCCAAGCTTTAAAATAATTAAGATGCAGTCTTCTCTTGCCTATTCATGTGACAAGCATGTACCTTAAGCTCAGCATCATATTGTGAATTATGTGAGGTAAAGAAGACAACACCATCCCTACCTTTAAGGGGCAAAGAATTAATATTATTGATTACTACCATAATCCAGAAAACATGCAAGCTGCTTTACATACATTATGTGATTGAATCTTAAAGAAAGATATTATATTTCCTTTTATAGATGAGAAAGCTTAAAAAGGTTTAGTAACTTGTCCATTATCACACTAGCAAATAGACGGCAAAAGGAGAACTCACTCTTGGCTATTATGTCTTGCTTATTACATAAAGAGAGGCACATGATTTCCTACTTAGAACCTCTCGTCGCTATTATCTGAAAATCTGAGCTTCCTTTCCACTCTGATCAGTGCCTGCTAACACTGATACCATACACAAAGAACCGGAGAGCTCAACAGGCAGACAGCTCCCCTCAATATCAAATACACCATGCATTTTCGATCAAAGAATTTATACCATTTTCTAGAAAACACAAATGAACTGCTTGAGCTACAGAAGCACCTGTCCAAGATCTCCTGGCCCACTGCCCTCTAGACTAGAGGACAGACTGAGTTATACAACAAAAGAGACCAAAGTTCTGAATTAATTTCACGGTCCTCGCTTTTCAGACTAGACTTTTCTCTTCTCTGAAAAACACCAAGAGAAACTAATCACTTTCTGGGTTCTGTGCCTACATTTTCAATTTCATGATAAGCAGTCATCAATACACAAACAAGGAGGCCAAACACCACTTCTGTGTCGTGTCCACCATGGGCACTTGTGGAAAAAGACATGGAGTGATGGCAAAGTATGATCTGAGAGAATGTGATCACTGATGTATTTACAAATGTATTTTAATCACATTAAATATTTTTTCTTAAAGCAATGAGTCCATCTTCTGTGGAATGGTTTTTGTTGTTTTTTTTTTTAGTGGACACAATTATTTAACAGTAAAATTAATCACAATTTGGACAGACTTTATAGATGCCCTTTGACTTATCAATTTCAGTAAGCAAAATTTCAATCAAGCCTAGATAAAATATACTAATCCTAAATAGGCCAGGTTTGTCACCTGGCCATTTTCCATAAGCTGCTTACCATAGCAAAAAAAAAAAAAAAGAAGAAGAAGAAATTTTAAATTAAATGCCAAACAGTTGCAGACAGCACTTGTTTGGCTGATTAACTTGTAGACAAGCATTACAAATAAATCTGAGCATGGTCTGCTGCAAATTAAATTCCACTGCTTTTAAGAACAAAGAATTCCTTGGCAAAGAGGATTAGCAACTTTACACCCAGGAATGCCAGTTTAATTTAATTGTTCCACAATCCAAGATTTAATATGCAAATATCATTTTGATATATAACAGTGAATTTAACAAAGTGAGGAAACAAATTCAATATACAACCAGGCTGCCTTTTCTGAACTGTAATTATATACAATAAAGAAATTGGCTGAGTTCCCCCCCCCCCATTATTGGGACTGAATTATATTAACATGAATCAGAACAAGCATAATTAAAGGTTAAAAATTTTACACGTATTCTAATTAAGAGTCTAAACAGCTGTACAATTAGAATACTGTAGTTAAAATCACACCTCAATGATCTTCTTGGCCTCTTTGTAATTTCCTGTTTGTAGAAAGGCAAAGAAGAGATCATAGAGCATCGTCATTTCACCTTGTTCTTGGCTCACAAAGTCCATTGCTAGAGAAAAAAGAAGAAAAAACATAAACACATTATCACTTGAAGTTCTGGACAAATACAAGAAAACTCAAATATTTAGAATAACTTAAAGATTATAGCTATATCAACCAATTTTCTGTCATATTCCTTATCTAACAGCATAACATCTATTTATGACATTAAGTACCTAAGACTAGCTTCAAAGAGAACTGGTGAGGATAAGGGTAAAAAATTCTCATAAAGGCTGATCATCAATAAGTAGAACAAAAAACAACATAGGGATAACCTTTCAAAATGAACAATTATTAAAGTCAAGGACATTTATAATATTGAAAATGTATCTGATATTTTTCTTTTCAATTTAGAAGTGTAAAAAAGTTTCTCTGGATGTGCTTGCCTTCCTTTTAAATTTTCTCTTCACAGCAATGCATTAAGATTAAATAAGCAAAAGGAGAAAAAAACAAAACAACTATACTAAGATATTAGAAGGTGACTAACCTTTCTGAATTAGATCAGTCTCGCCTTTCTCAATCAGTTTACACAAGACATCATGAATCCTTGGTAATATTTTATACTTCTTATGGCAGTCAATGGCAACTTCAAGAGCAGTAGGTAAGTCATCCCTTGGAAACATCAAAATATTAACAATGAATAAAATATATCTAATTTAGTTTAAAGAGATATACGATGACTAGTCAAAATGTACACGACTTTAAGGTAGAAAACCATGAAGCCAAAATGGAAAAAAAAAGTAAGAGAAACAATCCTTATATATAAATAAACGTTCAGAGCACAGACATCAATAGCAGTTCCATTTTCGCCGCTTCATCTTTATTATTTTGCTGGCTAAATGGCACTTTTTTGAAAAGTCCAAAGAGATGAAGATACTCTGAGATTATTATAAATAAAATCCGATTTTATATAAAAATGGCTATTAAGAATGTATTATTTCTAAAAACAAGGACTACTATCAAATATTTCTTCCAGCTACTTATGTGTGTTTATGGTCCTCAATTCCAGATTTTGAAAACTTTATTAAATGTCCATCAATAGCTATCAAGGAATTTTCGAGCACTTTCAACTCTATCATCATATTTTTTATATTGCCACATCTCCATGCAAGGAGGAAGTAACTTCAGGATATATGGAGAGAGAAACTTATTCTTACTAAAACCAGGATATTCTTATGGTCAGTAAATTTTAGGAAGACTCTTAAAAAGTTTCTCTTTAAAGGGTAGGCTTTTAAAAATTATTTCCAATTATAAAGTCAAGGTTTCTCTTTTATGTGAAAATAAATTAAAATAAAAAGACATTTTCATTAAGTCAGAGTTTCTTAAACAAGAGTGTGGAAATACATTCTTGTGGGTCCTCAAAAACTACTTTTTCCTTTCACAGGAAAAGGACAGTATAAGAAATATGTAAGACCTTGGAAAAGCTACAGAGATTATGTGATCCAATTCTACTTGTCATCTTCTTTATTTTTAAATAGGAGGAAATAAGGCATGTAGAGACTGACAGATTAGCCTAAGGCCACAAGGTAAACAGAGGAAGGCTCTGTCATCAGATCCCTGGACTTCCCACTTCCAGTTGAGCACATCTAAGTATACATCACGCTCCATGAAAAGCAGTTGTTTATTTAAACTAATGAGGTGCTACAATTTGGAATAACAAATAAAGATTCTTGAAAATAAAAGTACGAAATGTATAAAAAAAGAAGCATGGTTAGAGACACAGAGCAAAATACAACCAGTGACAGCGATAATCCTTGTGGAGAAAACATATTTCTCTCGCAAACAAAACAGTTTTCAAAAGGAAGGAGTCTTTTTTTATTTTCTGTTGAAGCCCTAACATCTCGGTCCATTATACAAATGTTATGTTGCCCTAGACTGAATTACTATTTTATCTAGATTAAGATTTTAAGATCTACTAAAAAGTAAAATACCACGCAGAAGTGTTAATTTCATTGCAATAACACTGACACAGTGAAAATGAGCCTATCCTGACGGAACTCTACCTTATCCCCTTACTGAGCCCTGTTTACAGTGCATCTTCTGGCACCCTACAGAGTCATTTGAATTTTTGTCATTTGGGGTGAAGACTAAATTACAGGTTAATTTCAAAACCGCAAGTAGATGTTGCAGGCTAGATTACTGTCATACAAGAGAAATGCTACAGTAGCTACCACATATGATATAAAGCTTTATATAATCAGTATTTTCCCTTGCTGCAGACACAAGTTTAGTTATTACCTTTCTACAATTCCATTTAATGGAAAACTACTAGAATATTTTTAAGAGAAAAACTAACACATACTGATTTTCTTAAAGCAGTATGATTTGCTTTTTCAGATCAATTCCCAAACTACAATAGTATTGTCTCAATTGTATTTTCCCTACATTAGGTCAAAACTATCAATAAACGAGCAAATAATTGTTCTGTCAATCAAAGAGACATGTTAATAGTCTTTGGTCTCCAAATATATGCTTCTGAAGATTATACATGCTCAGAACAACAACAGAAAAGACAAGAATAGCAAAATGGAAATAATTTATATATTTGTTAGTAATTTTAAGTACCAATGTTACTGCTCTCAGGTTGCCAACAAAATGAATTAGAAATCTATAATGAAACATTTTGTACAAATTGTACTGATGATAGAAAAGAACTAATGACTAGTCGGTTCTTTTTAATCCCTATTATCTACATTCTGACTTGTTCGATCACGTCACTTTAAAATAAAGAGATAAAAATGTCCATTCCTCATAATTTGATGTCATCATTAATCTTTCCTAGTAAAGCTTGAAAACTTGAGTGACAGAAATGAAAAATATAAAAAAGTACCTAAAAGTCACATTGCTACGAAAATAGTTGTATATTCACAGGACTTTTGAATTTCAACTCCAATTGATAAGTACTACATGCAGTTTGGCTGTAGCAATGTGATACGTTTCTAGAGGTGGTGATGAAAATCAGATTATCACAATGCCTGAACTCAAGGACCTTTGGGTTCCCTCTCAGTTCTAATACTCTAACATGAGGTTCTACAAATTTGAGCTTATTAGGTTCATCAACTCAAACGTTTCACACCAGCAGAGAAAATCATCATATGAAAATACTGCTCTTATTAGGCAGAATAAAATCAGTAAGAACAGCAAAATATCAAAAGGAAAAAGGTGGAAACTGCTTTATATCCAAAATGTTGGACATTTTACCTCTAGTTTCTGTGATCTAAAATGATCCTGTGATTTCCTTTGTACATTTTAAAACACTAGAACTGACTTAAAATCCTACTCTAAAATAACAATAATCCTTTGAAGAAACCATGTTAGTAATATTAACTCTGGATTCTCAACTTTGATTCCGTGCTTATTTCAGTATATATATGCATAATTTCTAAAGCTTTATATACATATGGGTCACAACTTTTTAAAAGTCCATTCCTGACAAAAATTTAGCCACTGCTTTCACAAACCTCAAATAATACTGAAGAAAATCAACTCTGTAACATACTATTATCTCTAAAAAAAAAAAAAACCCACCGTCATATTTTCACAGTGACTAGATTCCCCCTCAAACTATTTCAATGAAATACATAAAGTAATTTTCATGAATAAAACTACATATGCGAAAAAAGCAATATTAAAAAATATTTTGATTGATGTAAATTAACAATATAAGTTTTACCAAAATTCTGTAAGCCTATGAAACAAAGGCAGGATGGAAGAAAGGAAGATTCTGTAATTCTGAATTTTAAGCACATACACATATAAGGCTGAGTCCACAAGTAATTTGAACACTTAAAAGAGAGCTTTATTTATTAACTTGAATGGACTCACTTGGCTCATATTAAAATTCATTCTAGAATCTCTAATCCACCTTTTAAGGGAACATGACCATATATAAAACTACTACAAACTGTAATTTTGCATTATTACATGGAGAAACATCCAAAAAAAGGCAAGCCTGAAGCTCATGTGGCAAATCTGATATTATGTCTTTTAGTTTTTATTATGAAATTAAAGTATGCTATAACGTCAGTGACAGAAAAACAAACACTGGACATATATTCATATGAGGTATCCACTGATGATAAAATTACCAGGAAACAAAGCACTCCTAACTCAAATTCCTCACTCTATACAACTGTGACAATCACAAATGTGTCTCATATGATCTCGAATTGTTAGAACAAGCCCAACCACTGACAACTATCTATTCACCTATCAGTAGCTTTAAACTTAATCTCCTTACTCATAGTAAGTAGCTTTCCAATCCTGAGAGTATACTTAATTTAAACAACAAAAATGACAAATAGTGATTTTTAATTGCAGTAAAGTGCTTCAACATTACACATAAAGTGTTAGTGAAGTGGCAATTTACCTAAAGGGCTTACTAAATGAAAAGCTCTCAAAATCTGAAATGACTAGAGAAAAGAGGAGCCTTGGGGAAGAAATAAGTTTAAAACAAGAGAGGAAAAAAACACCTCAACACTCTAAAAACAAACTATTCTATAAATCTTAAGCAAATATTCAGTGTGGAGAGAAATCAATTCAGGAGAAACCACTGTCTTCACAAAAATTATTCTGTTAAGAGAACCAGTCCTTGAAAGAGCTAAATGTTTTTTTCTGTTCATCATCTACAAACGAGGAATCTTCAAGGAGACTGGTGTTGCAATTACAACTAATCCTCCCCAAAAAATTAACTGTGTTGAAGGCTTTGTAATTTCCCTAGGTACAATTTAGCTGTCACTTACTTTAAAATTTACTCAAACATGCGTTCCGAACAGCACTAACTTCACATGTCAAGTGCTTTCCAGCCAATTGAGTCTAAACTGGAAGTCGGTGTTAAACAACTGAATGATTAGACAAGATAGCTCATTTCCCTGCTCTTTTGTTCAGAATAAAATGCCACATTTACATTATCAGGCTCAACAGGATTTTCTGACAGAAGGAGAAAAAACCCTACTGAACACTGTCCGTACTAAGCACATGAAGCCTGTCATTTACCAATCATCCTTCAAAAAGCAATAGCCATGAATGTAACTTAATTACGACCCAATGATCCTTGACGAAAAATCATCTTATCACTGTCCTGTCCCCCTAGGGCAAATGAACTACTTTTGTCCTTTGGCACTGATGATGCTAAATTCTTAATTGCAATAATGGAGTAAAAGAGTCAAACCTCCCTAATTTCCTTTCAGCACACAAAGAGTTTTACTCTAGAAGGCAAGCATTCCCATAAATAATAAAAGTATCCAGTACAAATGAAGATGCTAAAATTGAAGGGGAGTGTATATGACAGAACAACCAGCATTTTAAAAAGTGTATTTCCCATTTATGTAACATATTAAAGTGTTACAGTGAGTTTAAAAACTTAGATTGTTATAGGTTCATCTTACAGAAATTGTGACCTTTATGAAGAACTCAAGATTAACTTAGCAGGAGTTCTGGGAGGATTATACATACAAAGTCCATGATTCACTTAAATGAAATGCATGTGGGCATATACAGATTATAGCACAAATCAGCACAGAAAAATCCTTAATGGAAAGCAGAAATTAAAGCTTCTTTGATCATTTGCACTAAATAATCCAGTTAAACAGCCTCAGATATTTTTCATAGGCAATGAAACCAAAATGGATCAGCTAGAAAACAAGTGAATCTGAAACAGCATCATACAAATTTTTAGGCTTTTAAACCGAATGGCCCAGATTTTATTAATTTCATTTCCTTCACCATTGCATAAAGACTGATCAAAAGCTCTTTTAACCTATTTTAAAGCATTTCTTTCTTCCTTAATATGGAGGATCATCTTCCAGAATCAGGCATGATTTCAATTAAAAAAAATTTTTTTTAAGTAGTTACAAAAGAAAATGTTTAAAAAATAACATTTGTTTGGACTACATGTAGGCATGTGGCTTATAAAATGAAAATTTTGTTCAACTCTGCGCATTTCTTTTTTGTTCAATGTAAGTATCATTTTGTTAATACAAAAGCAATTCGTTTACAAACGGTTCAATAATTTTGAAAATTTGTTATTGTTTTGGATTTCCCTTGGCAAATGAATAAAAACAAAACGTTTCATTTTCCATACCCACAAAGCTTTTTATATGTTATCCAACTAACAAACTGACACAGTATTAATCTCTCCTGTGCTTTATCCGATGCTGGAAAAGTCAGTTCAAAATTAAGATCTACTGAATCTTAAAGATCATTTTTCTGAGGAATTCAACTTCATAGATTTGTTCCAGAATTACAATATATAAGTGATAGCCTCTTTAGAGTCTTTGCAATGGCATCTCAAAAAGAGGCTCACCTTTCAATGAAAGGATGAAGCTTTGGTACTATGTTCCGAAAAAGTATTCATAATTTTATCTCAAGTTTGAATAAGTAAGGCTCATTCCCCAGATGAGCTCATACCTGCTGAGGTCAATTACATGATATTATTGAAGATCAAATACATTTAATCAAATCAAATACACATGGACTTTTTGGCAGGCTAGTACACTTAATCCTAGTACTGTACTTGTCATGATTCCGTATTAATTAGTTATCTTCCATCAGTTGGGGAAAATATAATTGGAAAACATTTCAAAGTCAATTTTTTCCTCCAACTTATGCCCGACTAGGAGGGCTACTACTGTTCTCTGCAATTTCATAAACATAAAATTTCCTTTATCTCCTTTTTATTATTTTCATGACTCTAAAACAGTCAACAAAACCTTTTTATTATGATAGATGAAACTGAAAGATCGTGTCATGGAGACTGTCTTGCAAAGCAAAGGTAGCAAAAAAAAAAAAAAACTTAGGCAAATAAAAATAGAAGGTAATAATTTCTCTACGTATGTGAAAGTAGAAAGAAATCATAAAAGAAAAGATACTAATTTAGATTTCTCTAGCCCAATTAACAGGGACAGCCAAATTTTACTGAGCCATACAAGTCTCACTGTGCCGTATAATGAGAAGCCCAGAGCATGCCCCAGGTTAACATCTGAATCCCATGCTATTTCCATTTTCCCTTGGGTAAGCTCTTCTTGGTTCATGAGCCCCATCTGCAGACCTCTTTTGGAAAACCTTTGTCTCTCCTCTGTCTTCAAAGTATTTCTATTTGTAAGATACTTTTCTATTATGGCCTCGTTTTCATTGTCAATTATTTTATTTTTTGCCCAGCAGTAGAGGAGGGCCTAATTCTTCTGGGCACTGGGCCCATTTCTTTCAAATCTCTATGCAGAGAGCACTACATAAAATTTGCAGAGATGGGTCTCTTAAACAATCAAAAAAATTCTAGTAGGAAGCATATTAATTATAGGATTTCTATATAAAGTTGGCGGTGAACATGAGAACTCAGTAACACAGTAATTGTTTGAATCACTATTTCTTCAAAAGGATATAATGCTGAGATTGTGGAGGTTAAGATTTGGCCAATCATCAAACTGTTTTTTGATTGAATGGCAAACATGAATGTATGTGCATATTAATATATACACACATTTCTTAACATAGAGCTAGTTAAAAGAGATGTTTTTTATTTCACCTTTTAAATCCAATTCTAAACCATTCATTACATTCAATTAATTATACCCCCTAATAAGTAAAGAAAAACTACCAGAAATTCGGGAAGAATATGAGAAACATTAAGATATATCTTTTATTTTTCTCCTGGCACTGATAGGGCAACATCCACACTAAAATCAGAAAATCCCAATCATAAAATAAGCAGATTAAAAATTGCATTAAGCCGCGGAAAAGATGACAAAGAGGTAAGATCTAAGAAATTTAAGGGGGAAAAAAAACCACAACAGAAAAGAAAAACAAAAACAAAAGGAAAAGAAGATAGTAAGGGTGCTTAATCATCTTACTAAAATGTTTCAACTCATTACAAGAGGGTAGGCTGATTTTATGATTTGCACTGCAAATAATACCTTAAATTGGGCACCAACATGTACATTCCAAATGTAAAAATGTTCAAACTCAGTAAATCTTTCCCTATCAACAAAATTCATCTTCTTCTCACAAGGCACACACACATCTTCTACAATATTTACCAAAGCTAGAATAACTGTATTGGTACATGCAATTAAAATAAAATACCACATGGAGTAAGGGGCACTGAAGAGATGCTGCTGCATTATTACCTGAATAATGGTCATGATGTGTAATCAAAAGCCCCAGAGAATCCTTCTTTCTTACATTTATTAATAATTAACTCTTATAAGGCTCAAAAATGGGAAAAACTAGATTCAATTTCATGTCATATCATTAAATTTCCCACAGAAAAATTGCCATAGACCATTCATTCCATTGAGAAGTAATCCACAGGACCACAGGGCTGCTGGTGATTTTAAAGGTCACCTACTCCATGTAAGCCCTCTTATTCTGTGGCAAATAACCTCCAAGCTTCCACAGCAACACAGAGTATTTACAAAGTATAACCCCCAAATGATTATTCTCATTCTTTTATGCCAACATTTAAAATTCAAAATTCAATTAACTTACTTTTCCAAATAAAGAGTGACCAAAGGGGAACTTATGGTGGTGGATGGTTTCGCTAACCCTAGAGTCACGATGGCTTCATGCAACTGTTGTACTGTTTCAGTTTCACCTCTTAAAGCTGCGCCATTTAGGATGTGGAAAAAGGACAAGACTGTTGCATCTTTGATAAGAACATCCTTCTCTTTCATCTCCTTTAGAATGTTAATAGCATCTACAATGAAGTAACACAAAAGACCCTTAGGTAATTTCATGTAGGGAAAACAAACTGCTATTAAAACAGCATTTCAAGCCCAGCAGGAATGTAAATTCTAGTGTATAATGCCGATTTCAAGTTAATTACTACTTGCATTTCTAAACGAGACTACAATTATAAATCCACAATAGCATGGTTTTATCATTTCCCTGCAACTTTGACTACAAATTATAGATAGGGACTGTGTGCCCACTCTGCACCACATAACCCTGTACGGTCTGCCCTATAGCTGTAAGATCCTCCTAAATGGATGCTTTTATCGTTCAGAGCTAACATCTGCTAAATCACACCATTGTTTCTTCAGCAGATGGCTTGTCAGGAGGCCAGATAATAAAGATGTGTTTACACTGTATATACAGCCAGACTAATGGTCTGATACCGATAGGGCCTGTTTGCTATGTCGATACTAATTAGCCAAGAGGAGCCAATGAAAGCTTTCCAAAAGACTGCATGTTAATACATTAGATTCATTAAGCTTCATTAGGAAGGCAGAAACAAACATTTTAGGATATGGAATAAGTGCATTTTTATAATGTTGTTCATAATTATTGCACAGACAAAATGTTTTGACCGCTTTACAAAAAGAATTTTAAAAAGCAGGCTAATCCTTAAAAAGAGTTTTCTGTGTTAAAAAGGGTTCCTAGGAAAAAATTCAATGTTCAAATCAAATATTTTCTCCATACATTTTTCACTATAAAACTTTTTTTAAATCTTCTCTAGGAATAAAAGGAAGAGAGGAAAGCTAAAAAGGAAGTTTCAAAACAAAGCCCAATGAGAGAGTTAAGAAACAAGCAAACAGTAAAACTATCTTATCAAATGTGATTAATTCTATTAGGCTTAGCATTATCTGAACAACTAGAAAATTAGAATATGCACATCAGCTATATAATCAGCTAGGCTTTCCCTGGAAACTTCTAAATAAAAACTATTAAAGTACACATTTTGTTAATGTCATTAAAAGTTAAGACAAAGACTACTGCAAAATTCATATTCTTAAACAAAGGTTATGTTTATAGTTATGTTCAGCCTTCGGATGTTCTTAAGCAAAAACAAAGCCATTAGTATAGGCATATAAGCAAATTGTGCCACAAGTCATGATCTTCAAACTCAATCCAAACAGCAACGCTAATAAAAACTAGCTGCAGAAATGCAAAAAGCACTGAGCTGTGCAAATGTAAATGACAAGCTTGCCAATCCATTAAAACTAATGGCCTACACTGTCCATGCAGCTCTGGTTGGATTCACATGCAAATTTCTATGCAAAGTGTTCAAGCACTTTGCAGGACATGATATACCATTAATATCAATTCACGTATTATTCCAGTGGCAAGATACTTGCATCACATATTTCCTTTATGTGCCGAGGCTTACCTTGGAGCTTGCCATGTTTTCCCAATACTTTTACAAGGCCCACATACTTGTTGGTGTCAAGGACGGCAGATGAATCTAAACGGTCACTAAAAATTAAAGCCACATTTATGTTAGCTTCAAAGCTGATTAACCATCCATTTTATCATTTTTCAAAAACTCATCAGATGGTCTGAATTGTTATTAACACTGGCTTCAGCTAAGGTTTATTTTTCAAGCCATATACAAATTCACATGTATTTATATTTAAAGTGACAAAAGAAGTAAAGATCTAACACTACATACATATTGCATCACTATGTCTCCAAATGATGCTAATGAAGGAACTCTTACGCCTCATGGTAGTTTAGGTGATTCTAACCATGTCATGAACACTGAAATACCCAAAAAGGCATATTTTTATTTGATAAATATATCAGGATTGGGAAGCCAAAGATACTTGAGAAATGGACAAAATTTTGTTTACACCACAGTATAGAAAGGGGAATGTTTAACAAACCTCATAAAATAGTTACCATCACCACTGTTGTGATATGCATTATGTAATCAATGGGGAAAAAATCTTGGCTTTAGGAGCAGAAAATCTTATCATACTTAAAGACTCCTTGCTAAAAACAAGCCATAATTAATCAGAGCCTCCTATTATGAAATGTCAAAGGTACTGACAAAAAAGAATTTTTAAAAATTACATTATAGAAGAGAGCAATAGTCAATCTACACGATCCATCAAGGGCTGTATATCAGCATAAATGTTGATGATTTGTTTCAGTACCAAGGTACTCACAATTCTTGTTTCAGGTTCAATGCATCTTCTGCATTATCATGTCGACAGCACAAATTTATTAAAGCTGCATAGCCACCGACAGCCATGTCCGATTCATATTTTGCTTTCAATTCAAGAGCTTTTTGCATGTTCTAAAATAAAGGATAGAGTGAAAAAGAAAGAAGAAATGAGTACGAAAGAAAATGTAAAATTTCTGGTTTTAATGCTCAGAGTGTAGAAAAAGTTAAAAGTACTTTAAAAATAAATGGATTCATGTTATTAACTTCACCTTGCTTCTTGGCATTTTTATTCGCCTTTTAAAAAGCAGGCAAGATACACATGTGGGGTTTAAAAGATTGGTTATCTGTAATGCAAAACGGTCCACCGTGCCAAATTTGATGTTTTAGCTTTGGCATTGTACTATAAAAAAGACTTCTAGATTAAACATGTACCAAGTCAGCCCCTAATCACAATCCAATTTCCATACACAGAAATATATATCATCGTAAACTTCCTCACAGTCTACTTTCATATCCAAGTAATGTGAAGAAATATTTTAGAATTTAACAGTACCATCTCATAACCTTAAAGTCAATTACATTTTTTTCCCTAAAAATACAGGCATACGACTAAATCATATTGAACCAGAAACTGAAAAAGTCTAGTGATATACAACAAATTGCAGACACACTAAAATGAACACAAAGTACAGCTGGACGCCTGCTGAAAAAAGGCAAGAGACCCTTTATCTCAGAAAGAGCTTTTTTCCAGCAGGAAAATGGAATTTCAATCCCTGCATTAACAACCTAGTAATATTTGACTTGCAAATGACTACCGCATGTATCAGTTGCTTGACAATCTAGATATAAGAGACCGGAGCCATGGCTTGAAAGGACATTTGGCATGTATGATAAACCTATCACGGCTGTTACTATCATTCACTTTGCAGATTATCGTAAACAAACTACAGCAACTCGAAAACATGCCATTCAAGGTGTACCTGAAATTAGTTAACCTTTCATTTAATTGCGTTCTTCACAGCCATGAAGTACAACAATCACTCGTAAAAATTATAAATATTATATTTGGCTTCGCTTGCTTTTAACTATGAAGAATTTTTTTTACCTTAATAGCATATTTGAAATATTTAAACAAATGTTACCTCTTCTGAACAAAGCATTAATATGAGTTGCTTTAGGACATCTCCTACAGGTTGATTTTCAGCTTTTAGTTTTTCAAGTGTGGACTCCAAATCAGATATTGTAAGCTGCATGGTCTATAGAAATGGAAAGAAAAAAGAAAAGAAACTGACTACAAAAAGAAAATGTACCCCCTGTCACTCTTCCCTTTAAAGTGACCTTTCCTAAATGTCACAAATGCTATCAAGGAAATTAATCTGGGAACCTGTGGATGGACTCCAGGGGTATATGAAGTTCCTGAGATTACACACAAATTTCTTTGATATGATGATTTTTCTGAGCTGGGGAATAGCTTTTACCAACTTCTTAAGAGGTATACCATGGCAAAAACAGGAACTACTGGTTCTATAAGTATACACTTTAGAATTCTCATTAAATGTAATTATAACATGTAGAATATTCTCAAAAAATCTACTTACTTTTCGAGAGTCTATCTTCTCTCTCTCAACCAGTATATTAACATCCTAAAATTGAGATTTAAATTATAATTAGAAAACAAATGGAAAAATATATTAGCAAAGGTCAAAAGCAAATTTTGGAAGTCCCATGTCATTTTACTGCTATTTTTCCATCTTTCCAAAATTTTCCAGAAATTCTGTTCATACTTTATTAACTATTGTAATAAATGTTTTAAACACATTCATCAATATATAAACAGTATTTACTAACAATCAATGAAAAGCCTTGTTTTAATGGCTGTCATTTAAATGAACTTTTTTTTTTTGCCAAAAGCTCATATTTAAACAAAATTTTAACACGCTTTTATATATAAATCAAGCATTTTAAAAAGTTGATTACTATTTAACACACACCTTAATCAACTCGGGAACATGGTAGTTATCCAGTAGATTACGAATGCCTCTGTAGATATTTTCAGGAATTTTTACATTCTGTACAAAAGGAAGGGAGGAAAAAAACCCCTGAGTTTTAGACAACCAAACTGAAATTCATCTAACAGAAATTACCTCAAACATAATTTAAGTCTCCAACTCATGTGTGTCATTGAGAAGTGGTCTGGTTGTAGTTAAAAAGCAGCAATTGCAAATCTAATAGATACATGTCAGCTAGGACAGGCATTATATAGCAAAAAATGAAATGGTACCATCTCCTTCAGCTGATGGAAGTATTGTCTCAAATGCTCCTCCTTGGCCTGTACCTCTGAGTCACTCATGCTGTCAATCAAGTTATAAAGAAAATAGCCAACAGCTTCTGTGGAAAAAAACAAGAGAAAGCATTCCACTAAAATTACTGAGACTGTCATGTTATCAAGATTAATTTATAAGAAATCATTTTGGTGTGAGATGTCACCCTGATGAGAGGCTCTGAAATGGCAACAATGATCACTGAGGCATAGAGATTATGTGGTTTGGGAGCACATATCTAACTGGTGAGTGAAAGGAATATTAATTATTTTCAGACCGAGTGACAGCTTTTCAGTACTGAATCTTACTTCAATCTATTTTTTTCCACCACTCTGTGACAGAAGTGTTCCTGCCCAAGGCCTTACCCCTTTCCTCTCCAAATCACAAATAGTGAGAATAAATGCCTGTACACATAGCTATACTAATTTTTTTTGTGGGTAATATCTAGGGAAACACATAAAAGTAGAAAGGATTATTAAATGTTGAGTATAGAAAGTTAAATAATTTTAATAAGCAGATACAGTAATCCTGTGGAGAGCTGCCTATTAACCAATGAAAAACCAAGATTAACAAAGATGTTTTGTAACAACAGTAATTTTCCTATGCATTCAAGCATAAAATGTATAGGGCCATGTGTTAATACCTAGGATAGAAATTTTGAACTTTCAAGAAGAGTACCTTCTTACAGAAAACCATATATTCTAGGCCTCATTATAAAAATGAAAATCATTAAATGTCAAAATAACACATTTTGGGTAATAAATTATGTTTAAATGGAAAAAATCTACATACCTCCTTACTATTTTATGTTTAAAAATTAACTCACCTGCGAAACACTAAAATCACATAAAGACTAAGGATTACTTATTTTTAAGCCTATTTCTATAGATGCTATAAGAAGCATTTCCTAAATACCTGAAAAGAAAAAAACCTCCCAACCTTGTCTTTAAAAAAATAATTATGATAAAACCAAACACCTTACAGATCTCAAAATGTTGTCATTATCAATATAAAGATTTACAACCAAATGCTTTCAAATTTCACTTTTAAAAAGAAAATGTTTACTGCTGTAATCCTTCTAGCCCATCATTACACAGAAGAATGGATTTGTGGATAAGTTACAATCATCGAAATTGAAACGCTACCCGTTGGTCCTAGAGGCTCCTGGCAATAACGTCCATCCTTGTACAAGAGTTCTGTTATCTGGTAAGACAGAAAATGCACGCATTGCAGCAAGAGAAGCAAACAAGAACACACACAGTCTGAAATTGAATTCTTGAAATAATAAAGCCTCTCCCCAGTAAGGTATTACTCTATACCACAGTAATTCAACACCACCCCCACCTGCCAAGGAGATTGTTTCGTTTTTAAATAATAGGTTTGTCTTTTAAAAACAAAACAAAACAAACCCATGTTGAAGGAAAACTGCAATGTTTTATGAAATGTCACTAAGAAAGCCTCTACACTGATTTGTTTATATATCATTTTAAATGAATTATTATATAGGAAATAGCTAATAGGGATCATCAACCAATATTATTTCTTATCGTACTGTTTTTGGTCTTTTGAAATTGGACCAGTCTCCTTCTAGTAAATGAAGTATGGCAGAAATAATAAAGTAAAATATCCTAAACCACTAAATAACTTAATTTTTTTTATTTTTCAATGAAATCTTTCCAGTCATTTTAGTGGTATTAAAACAAAAGGGGTCAAAAGTTCTATTGTGTTTGTTCTCATGGATTCTTATCAATTGAGTACACAAACACTAAAAGACATATACAATGCTTACTCTTCAACATTAATTCTGCCAACAAAATTTTAAATTAAAAAATCTAAATATGCATTTTATGATGAAAATGATTACAAAGCCTAGAGTATTGATTTGTAACTTTTCAACACGGTATGTGACTATATATCCTCTGGCTAAAGACAATAAGAACGGAAATACACAGCTGTTTTCCAAAGTGATCTGAGTCAGGAATTCTGAACTACTGTGTTCTACAACCCAACCTACTTGCTCTTAAAATAGCACCCATCACATATTATAAGTGTTAACAACTCAAACTGCAGTTACTGCAACTACTGTTTATTAGCTAATATGGAAAACTAGGCAAAACTGACCATATCCAACTTAACGCCACCATGAAAATCATGCTGCAGTTAATGGCAATTCAAAGGATAGTTAAGGTAGAAACCATTCAAAAGCAACCCTCATTTACAAACTATTTTTTAACCAACACAGATACGTGTAGAAGACAGACAATAAATTCTACCAGAAGTTGTAGCTGTACATTAGACATCAGACAACCACAGATAATACCAAATTTTGAACAAAGACACGTTTAATGAATAAACCAATGAAAAATCTTTCTAGTCAAAAAATTACTTCTGAATATAAATATCCCAGCCATATATTACAACTGACTATATAGTCTGAATGGCAGTATAACTAACACTAAAAACAGAATTGAATGAAATTTAGATTTAAAAAATATTTAAATTAGAAATTTCAATCAATGTGCATTCTAATTTTATTAAACTACAAATATTTCTTGTAATTCGGCATAAGGATAATTGCACTTCCTGCATAAAAGCAGTTAATTTTTTAAAAAGATAGCAATTTAAAACTGTATTAAAATCTATACATTCATATGTAGATATACTTAACACAAACATATACATATGCATATATTTAAAAAATGAATTATATCTGTATGGCCAAATGTCACTGCAAAAATGTTAACAGCTATCCCTTGGAAAAGTTGAAAACCTTATGAAGAATTTAGGACTAAGTCAAGGATAGTTTCAAAAATAAATTTAAGCTCCAAGGAAGGCAGTTTTAAAACTATCAACTTCAAGGTTCTAAATTCATTAGCTTATAATAATACATCATAAATGTGTGATGCTATTATAACTTTTGCTCTTAATAGCTTTTTATACATGACCTTACAATTTGCAATATTAGGCTTACTTACCTTGCTCCAAAGATTTATATTCATAGACCTGCAGAGGGCAGCATAGGATTAAAAATAACCCAGAGGCTTAAAAAACATTTTTTAAATTAAAATGCACTAGCAGTTATTACATGCAATGCATACAGATCAAAGCCATAAAATAAATAGGTAAATAAATGTTTCCAAAATCAAGCTGAATTTTCAAGACAAGGTAATTTAGAAAGGTTGACTCTCACTTACTTTGAAATCTCAAAATAAAGATTAGTTTGGGCAAGAATCATTAAGAACCATCCCTAAATCTTGGGGTCCAAATTTGATGGAGCAGGATATTTGCATAGTCTCAAAAATGTCTGCCCACAGACTGCTTACTACTTGTAATCGTAAAGATAGTAACCATATAATGGAGAAATTGAACTATGTCTTCACTGGGTGATCAAAACTAACATCACTCATTAGATGCTAATGGACAACGTGTGTTTTTAGATTGAATTCCTTGAGAAGGACAGAATATCACTCCTATGGTATTCCAGCCAGGGATGTATAACCTGAATCTAACCATATGGAACATGCTATAAAATAAATGGCCTGTATTCTCCAAAAATGTTAATGTCATAAAAGACAAAGGCTGAAGAACTGTTCAGATTAGAGAAAATTAAAGAGAAAAGACAACTAACATGCATGCCTGAACTGGGATTCTGTGCAGGAAGGAGGGAAATATAAAAAAAGAAAATAATTGATAACACTCAAATATGAACTATATTAGACAAAAATATTCCATCGATGTTAAATTTCCTGAATTTGTTAACTGTGATGTGAAATGTGTAAAAGAATATCCTTGTTCTGTGGAATTACACACTGACACATTTAAGGGTAAAGCATCATGATATATGCAACCTAAGTCCAAAGAGTTCCAAAAAAGTAAATTTTATATATCTCTATATGTGTATATATAGATAGACAGATGGAGGGAATGAATAATGATAATGTGGCAAAATGCTAAAGGTTAGTAAATGAGGCATACAAGAGTTCCCTGCGCTATTCTTGTAATTTTCTGTAAGTCTGAAATTATTTCAAAGAAAGCAAAAAGGGCTCACCCAAATTTTGCCTCTTTAAATTAAAAACCATATACAATGAACACTGGTCTTACACTATTTTTAACCTTTGTAAACTTAATGTCCGTAAGCTCTGTATATTTAATTCAAACATATAATCTACTTTAAGAAGACTGGGTTTTATTGGTAATTTTACAATGTAAATATACTATAGTTATTAATCTATTAATTATATAATATAAATTATATTAATTATATTTATTATAGTGTATTTATACACCATAAAATATAGTATATTTATTTATAATTAATTATATTATAGTGTATTTACTTTGTAAAATGCCCACAAAATTTATAGGCCTTTTTAAACCTATACCCACAAAAATTCATAGGCCTTTTTAAACTTGAGTTGGCAGTTTTGAGTGGACTGAGTTTTGGTACAGTGAGTTAACACGGTACTTATTTTTCCTTTAAAAACATATTCAGAATGAACTACTGACACATAAAAACTTGGATGGATTTCAGGGGCATTATGCTGAGTAAAAAAAATGCCAATATCAAAATATAATAAGTCCATTTATATAATCTTTGCAAAATAACAAAATTATAGCAATTGAGAACAAATGACGGGTTGCCTTGGGCTAGGGATGGGGGAAGGGGAGTGGTATGACTATTCAGGGGTGGGGGGGCATGTATATTTGTGGTGATGGTATAGTTCCGTACCTTCATCGCAGTGATGGTTACCCGAATCTATACAAGTGGTAAAATGTCACAACTATACACACACGTTGTACCAAAGTAAAATTTCTGATTTTGGGGGGCAGTTAAGTTCCCACATTCCACTTTGGTGGCCTGGGGTTCACCGGTTTAGGTCCCAGGTGCGGACCTATGTACTGCTTGTCAAGCCATGCTGTGGCAGGCGTCCCACATGTAAAGTAGAGGAAGATGGGCATGGATGTTAGCTCAGGGCCAGTCTTCCTCAGCAAAAAGAGGAGGATTGGCGGCAGATGTTAGCTCAGGGCTAATCTCCCTCAAAATAAATAAATAAATAAATAAATAGATAAAATAAATAAAATAGGCATTTAAAAAAATTTTCTGATTTTGATAATGTACTACAGTTACGTAACATGTAACTACTGGGGGAAAATGGGTGGAGAATACATAAGCACTCTGTGTCCTATCTTTGCAACTTCCTGTGCTTCTATAATTATTTCAAAATGAAAAAAAAAAACATGTTCCATGCCCTTTTAGAATCCTCTTCCTCAAGATGAAGTCATCCCTATCACTGAAGCACATGAAGAAAAAGTTTTGAAAAAGAATAGGGGATCTTATCTATAAGGGGAAAAGTGTTTATAAAGCCCTGTGTTTAGTATAGTGTTTATTCTGACTTGGGAAAATTCTTTGGGAAATCAGTTAACAGAAGAAATGATAAAGTGACTTAACAATCGCTTCTCTAGGCTGTAGCAAAAAACAATGTCTTCACTCTTAACAAGGCAGTTTTCATCTCATCCATTCACTGATTACAGGGCAGCCTCCTGTGACTATGTGAAAAAACAATTTTTTTTTTTTTTTTTTTGCCAAATAGTAAGTGAAAGAAGACTGAGAACTCAAGATATGAAGATAAAATGCTGTGCACTGAAGAGTAAGATACAGTAAAAATCTACATGGCTAAAAAATCAGGCATTGTTTTTGGTTAAGGTAGAAACAGCTTTAATTCAGAGTAATCTTAACTTGTAGATGCCTAACACATTTAAGGAATGGTGGTGGGGGTTTGGGGTGTAGGGAAATCAGAGTTTGCAAGGAAGTGAGAGAGTAATGCACAATATTAAGTGGTAAGACTCGAAGCGGCTTGTCACCTTTTCTGTATCATGGACCCCTTTGGGAATTCGATGAATTCCTCTTCTTAATTAGTGTCAATTTTGTCAGGTGTGATAGGATTACAGTAGTTATGTGGTTTTATTTAAAACAAGTTCTGAGATGTATACTAAAGTATTTACAGATAGAATGACAAAAGGTCTGTAATTTAAACTAAGTCCAGGAAAAAAAAAGGGGTGGTGGTGGTAGGTAGTGGGGCAGGAGCAGATGAGACAAGATTGCCAAAATCTTAACTGTTGAAGCTGGGTGATGGATATTTGGGAGTTCTACTTTTGCAAATGTTTGAAAACTCCATAATAAAAATTAAACACATACCATCTCCGGCCTAAATTTTGCATCTCTTCTGCAACTCTCAACATTAACAAGCTGGGCTTCCTTTTTAAGAAAAGCTACTTTACTCATAACTTCCATCAAAATATCAACTTAATGTGGAATAAACAATATTGCCGAGATATTAAGTGGCCCTCAAAGCTGGCATGAAGCACCTAGGGAAGGCATGGAGACAAACTTTCAAAATTCTACATACATTCAAAACAACTAAAAATGACTAAAAGAACTACCTAGAATGTGAAGCTTCATGATGGATGGCACAGGTGCCAAAAAGAAAAAAAAAAACAAAACCAACACAGAATCTTTTAAAACTAAGCTTTTGTAAGAGAAGAGTTAACACTTCTTCACTGCATGCTCACTCCCTAATCCACAGCAATCTGGCTTCTGGCTCCAAACTTCCAGTGAAAGTACTCTTGCTAAAAATACCACTATATCTCAACTCAAAATTCAACACTTTTAGGTCCCCTTTGACTAAGTTTTGAGATTTGTGTTGTTGTTGATCATTATCTGCCAGTCTCCCAGTGATGCTACTCAGTCTCGCTTAGAAACTCTCCTTCCCCATCTGCTACTTAAAAGCAGTCTTCTGTACAAGGTTCCCAGTGCATTACATTTTTTATTTTTAAGACAATCCTGTGTGAAGGTATTTAAATTCTTTGTTTCTCAGAACAGGAAACAGTCTTAGAAAGGCTAAGCAAAGTATCTTCACCTGAAGTTCTACAGCCAACTCAAAAAGCACCTCAAAGTATCCCACAAATTATTGACCATCTCTTCACGTTGTCCTCTTCGTTCCCCCATCTTTCCTTACCTGCACCCTGTTCTCCCTCCTTGAGTATTCACTTTGAGTCTTGCCTTCATTACGTAAATCTTTCAGTGGTCCAAAGCCATGCCTCAAGGTCCAAACATCACAACTTGGAATGAGATCATTTATGAAGAGGCCCAGGCTACCATTTTGGCTTTATCTGTTACCATTATTTCATAGTTTCCTGGGTTACCATCGTATCAATCTACCTTCAGGTCCCCAAATGCACTGTTCTCTCAGCCTCAACGCCTTTCCTGGAACGCCCTTCCTTTCCCCTGGACAAATTCTTACTCATGCTTCAAAGCTCAGCTCAGCACCTTCTCTGCACACCTTGCCCTGACCTGTCCCTCTCCTAGCCAGAAAGAGACAGTACCTTCTCCTCTATACATTCATAATTACCAAGACTTGTTTGTAGATGCTTTTACTTTCTGGTCTCCAACTATGAACAACTTAGAGGCAAGAAGTTTCCTACGCGTCCTTGAATTACCTATTATCTCGCAGTCCCAGCCCTTGGCACACACTAATAAGACCTAATATTTTCTGAGCATTCACAAACTGTAGTTCATCAAACATTTCCCGTTCCCCTGTAAAGATGCCACGAGTGGACCCTCACTGGCTGACTGAAAAGAAGACCCTAATACCTGGCATTTGACTTGATGACTTAAAGAAAGCTAGCACCAGAAACTTGATTTTTCTCCAACATATGAAAAGTGGCACCACTTCAATGGTACAGACTCCCACTTGCCAAGTTCAGACCGTTGCCATTGGGTCAGAAAATTCCTCCTTATATCTTTTTCTGTGGACTACAAAGACTTAAATGCCTCCAGGCCAATCCTGATACATTTCTCTTTTTGATGTGTTATAATTCCCAGCCAAGTTGTAAACTGGCTTCACTGACACTTTGTCTCTTAGAAGTGACTCAGTATTTCTGGTGGTGGAGATTTCAGTAATATATAAAATGTACACTGCCCTCTTTTCATTTGAACTTTGTTCAGCTGGCACTTTTATTAGGAGGAAAGAAAGTCTTATTCATACTAAACATCTTCTTGTCCTGGATTTTTTTTGAAGTATAACTGACATATAATATTATATTAGTTCCAAGTGTACAACATAGTGACTAAATATTTTTACACATTATGAAATGATCACCATGCTAAGTTGAATTATCATCTGTCGCCATACGTTATTACAATATTATTGACTATATTCCCTATGCTGTACATTACATCATTATGACTTATTCTTTTATAATTAGAAGTTTTTATTCTTGCCCTGGATTTGACATAAGAATTTAGTAACTTTATCAGTCAGATCTAAACGCCCTTTGAAATACTCTTAAAAATAGCCTATTTTCAAAAAGTTTAAAAGTAAAAATTCGCTAATAATCCTGAATAATCTCACCCTAATTAAGCAATACTGAACTTAAATAGTTGTCTACAGGTGACTTTGCCTATATATGTTAACAGAAAATCTGATTTATAACTTCGAAAACTTTAGGAAGGAATTACACTTGATTAGTAATCAATGACCATTTCTTGGCTTATCAACTTACAGGAATACTATCTTGCTAATAAAGAAAACAGAGTTAGTTTTTCAAAAATATGGTGGGATAGTATAAAAAATTAATCTGGGTCAAAACAGATTACAGAACACATGTTAGGACTTAGTGCCTCATAAACCCTGGGCCTACCACTACAGCAGACAGGTTATACTAAAGGTAGAGAACCATTCCAACAGTGAAATGCATATTCAAGTTTCCCTTAGGGTCAGCTAAAGTGACTATGATCTCATTTAATGTTCTATAACTTCTTACATATCTGACATATCTGATAACTATGAATAATAGTCTTTGATAAGGAATAACTTTATGTAAGTCTCTTATATGCTAGTCCTTATAAGAGTTACAGGTAGTTAATTTGAACTCTTTTGGGAATACCAATCAGCACTCAGTTTTTTCCTACTCACTTAGTGAATTCTCAAGTTGCTAGAATATAACAGGGTCCTAAGAAGCAAGTGATAGGTGACTGTTTCAATAGTCATACTGAATATACTGACATATGGATTTTAAAATACATACACTATTTGATTCAACATCGAATGAAAAAATAAAAGATTACGTTAATGCCAAGATAATGGATTGTAATGACATTGGTTAATTTTGGATTTTTAGTAGTTTTGGGGGTGGTAGGGAAAGAAAGAAATCACTTCTAGTCACAAATCCTTCAAATTATGCACATATTTTTATGAATAATGCCAAATTACCACAACTTGAAACCTTTCTACATCTACAGTAAGAAAAATTCATCAACATAATATAGTTTTAGAAGCTACAGATTTAAAATACTTTCCTGGAAGGGACTAGCCAAAACCCAGTCTTACAGGGCAGAGTACCAAAGGAGAGACCTTGACCAAGAGAGAGCTCTGGAGATCTGCAGAGTTGTCCTCAGTCTATAGCTGAGCACTGATAAGCACATGGGAGTGAGGATCAATTTCATATCCGAAGCACTTTGTTTAAGAAGTCTAGGATTTGTGAAATATAACAAATGACATCCAAACTGACTAAAAAATTTAATGTTAGTAAAATTAAAGAAGGAAATACTCATGATCTGGAAGTTTATATGAAAAACTTTTTCAAGGACAACTATACAAAAATGTCACTCTATTTCACTTTATAATGCATTATGGGTTCTTTTTTAAAAATCTGGTTCTACTAGTATTTTTATTCACCTGACTATGGATTCTGTGTTTTTCAAACTTTCTTCTTCTCTTTTTTGGTGAGGAAGATTGTCGCTGAGCTAACATCTGGGCCAATCTTCCTCTATTTTCTATGTGGAACATCACCACAGCATGGCTTGATGAGCAGTGTGTAGGTCCACGTCCAGTAAAAGCACAGACATTGGTTTGTTTTTTTTAAAAAACAAAAGAATGGAACTGCACTGCCTAAAGAAAAGGCAGCAACACAGGATCCCACTTTCTTGTTCTGCCTCTTCTTGACTGTAATAGAGGTTCTGAAGAGGTCTACAGAAAACCCTACTGCTCTCACCAACAAACAGACTAAAAATTACTGAGATCAGTATAAGAAGTCACTAACATTATAAATGTAGAAAGAATGACAAAATTAGAAACTCGCCCTTTTGCAACCACAACTGTTAACAACTGAGTCAACAAGGACTGCCAATGGCTGTCCTAAAACCACTAAGTGAAAGGTGCTGGAAACAGGATCAACAGACTGTCTCAAAATAACATCCCACAGACTTCTTACTAATTGAGAGTGAGGCCCCTTTGCAAGGGAGGGACATGGGGGCTACCACCTTAACCAAGTGATAAAATTTAGCTGATGGCACCAATATTGGACACCTGACATATGTATTGACACAATAAGAAATGCCTATCACCTATCAAGTATTCTGCTAAAAATCTTCAATCTGAGTCTGATCATGAGAAAAAAATCAGACAAATACAAAACGTGGGAAGGACATTCTACAGAGAAAGTGGCCTAGACTCTTCAAAAAAAGTCAGTGTAATAAAAGATAAAAAAAAAAACAACAAAATAGGAGAATTGTTCTGGATTAAGAGACAGAGAATTTTTAGAACTGGGGCAATGCGAAAATGGACTATGTATATTAGATGATATTATAGCACTGTTAATTCTTTAGGAGTGATATTGGTGTTGTAATTATATAGATGATAACCTTATTCTTAAAAGATATAAGCTGAAGGATCCAGTATCATCATGTCTACAACTTCAAGTGGTTCAGCAAAAAAGAGAAAGTATGTATATGTATGTGCGTGCATGTATATATATACATATTAAAGAAAAAGCGTATGAGAGAGAGTGCAAGTAAACATGGCAAAATATAAACAAACAGTGAATCTACATAAAGAGCATCTGGGTGTTTCCTTCACTACTCTTTCAAGTTTTCTTTATGTTTGAATATTTCCAAAATAACAAAATTGGGAGGGAAAGGTCATTAATATTCTCTGAGCACACAGAGGAGGAGAGCAATATTCTATTGAATAAAAGTCACCTTATAATTAAATACTCAAACTATAAATCAAACATATGTGCAAATTTATCTGTAACTCCAAGTCGCCAATTTCAAATAGTGCTTTCTTCTTTGAAACAAGACCTTTACCAAATTTGTGTGTATTTCTTGGAAAGGTAATACAAAAGGCTGCCTAAACACAACTCAACCTACTTAGCAGGAAGAATAAAAGGTTATTTCAGGTAACCAGAACATTGGAAGATTTGGAAGATAAGAATATCTTTCTTTCCTCATATAGTAGATTGAAAAGAAAGGAGAAATCAGTCCATATTCAGGCAAAGAACATTACATAAAGTAATCATCTTACCTCCTAAAGCCTAGAATTAGGCTGCCTCTCAAAGAAGTAAATGAGAAAGGCAATGTATTTGATTCCACTGCAAAAGAAAATGATCATCATTAAATTCCAGACCAAAACCAAAAGTCTTAAATTATCAATTTATTTGGAAACACATGTATACCAATACCATTTTATAATTTTTATTTTGGAAATTTCATTTCTAAAATGGAAATGTTTTCATACAAAATTAATTAGATAATGCAGTTATATATATTTGCAATAAAAGCTATCCTTTTAAAACATTTACTTCACTTTCATGAATATAAACAACTAATGAATTTATAAATATTCTTTCATATAAATGGCAATAACTAATCTACCAGCATACTCCGAGTGAGCCCGTTACACATACCAAGGCTGTATGTTATTAGACAATGTGGCACTATCAAGAGAGAGACTGTAACTACCCCACAGGACTTCTGTCCCTTAAAGACTGTAGATGCAGGGAAAAGTTTTTTTCTGAAAGTGGTAGTAGGTTCTGTTGAATCATTCACATGTTCTCATTCCATTTTCCACTATGATCAATGACATGCATTCATGCAAGACTGACAACCTAAAGTCATAATAAAATAGGTCTTTATCTGTCATGTAGTTGATTTATATCGATCTTTCAGTTTTCTGAGCAACTGTTTGCTCTGCTACAAATTTTGTCATTTAACAGTCTACAACCTTGTGTTTCAACGCTGAATTGTGAGCCTGACTTCCCTTACTTTAAGAATCAGGCCTTAACACATAAGGCCTGATATTTCACATAACCCTTGCTGTAACTAGCAAGGGATAGAATCACAGCAGGCATTTTTCCTGAATTTATTTTTCTCTGTCATTGTACTAAAATGGTGTCATGTTATAAGTACTTGATTTAATCTTTTCAGTATACATGTAATGTGGATATTCAATGATAGAAGATGGAATGAGAGAGGAACTCTTAGTGGAGGCAAATTCTGAAGACAGAATTAATAAATACATTTTAGGTGAAGATTAAAATAGCTGGTTAACTTAAAATAAGAAAACTCATGGGAAAAGTCATAGTAGATTTTAAGATTATTTGCTCATCTTCCCTAAATATGAGTAAAAATTTAACACACACACACGAATTGTTTTAGACCACATGCTATATCCCTTGAACGGGGAGGATAAGTTCCTCGGTGGTTTTATACAGCATTTGAAAATCTAAAAATCATTTAAAAAATGAACTGCATTTAGCCACTCAAGGATTTGAATGTAGACACAACTACAGTCATGCGTCACTTAATGACAGGGATCTGTTCTGAGAAACTCATCATTAAGTGCTTTGGTCGCTGTTTGAACATGACTTACACAAACCTAGATGGTGTAGCCAACTACCCACCTAGGCTATGTGGTACTAATCTTATGGCCCCACTGTCCTGTATGCGGTCTGTTGTTGACCGAACATTGTTCTACAGTGCATGACTGCACATGCCTTTCAGCAACCTTTAATTTTGCTTGATCAAATCAATTTTCCACGCCTACAAACACAAGTGGGAACATGTTTCCTATGAGTCCACAACTTGATCAAGATAAGCCTCTTACTCTTCTCTACTACCTGCCGTTCCTCGTGACGTAGTAACCAAAAGTGCTTACCTACGAGCTGCCTACAGCGAATACCAGCAATTCAGAACTAACTGCTCATCAAAGTGGGGTTAAGGGGGAGGGCACCGACAGGTGTGAGCTGAAATACTCTTTAGTCTTAAAGCTCCCGGAATTTTTCTTCTTCAAATTTAATAAACAACCTCTCTTGAAAATTTACTTTTATACTATTCAAATTAGTATTTTACAGTATATTGTCAAGTTTTTATTGGTTAAAAAGGTAACTAGAAACATCTCAGCAAGCTGAAGGCTGCTGATAAAAAGAATCTAGTTTCCTTAGCAACAAACAATTCTGAAAAATCAAGGGGTTGACAATGAAGTGGAATGGACGGTATGATAAAGGGAAAAGGCAGCTCTCATGGATGCACCCTCCGTACCCAGATTCTTCTGCTAATGCTTCTCTGTTTTGATCCTGTCAGTGTGGAAAATCTATATATTATACAGAGTGAAAGGTAAAATCAATACACTCAGGTAGCAGCCAGCATTAATACTCAACATTCAGTTCAACTACACCTCTAACAGTCACCATTTTTCATACTGAACACTTTGCCTTTCCCTTACAATATTATCATGAACTGTTTTAAGTAACATATACACAGGCAATATATACCAATAATCTGGTTTTTAGAAAGCTTCCACCTAAACAATGTGAATATACATTAATCAGAGCTTAACTTTTAACACTTTAGGGGGCTAGAAACTTATGTTTGTGCTTCGTTTTTAAATGATCTTTTTCACTAGATCTGAAAAACTGTCAAGTATAACGTTATAGATATGTTCAAAAACGAAGATTTTAAGAAATGTCTTATTTATTAAAATGAAAATGTAGTATGATGAAAAGAATAAGGTTAAAGTTAGAAGATCTTGGTTCTGGCTCAATCACTAACTTTGGGCAAATCACTTAAGCTCTCTAGGCCTTTCTTCATCTACCAATGGAGGTAATTTTGTGAATGTGATGAACACTGTAAAGTATGCTAGCATCTATAGTATTTAGTAAACATTTGCTGTGTTTTTGTGAATGAGGACTGGAAGACAGCTTCGTGTAACTTATGGTTATAATAGGTATTAGTTTAGAAAATACTTTCAGAATCACTACCTCATTTGATTTTCACAACAACTCCCATAAGGTAGATAGATAAGTAATACTATCTCCATTTCATGAAACTGAAGCAAAGAAACGTAAAGACAGTTGTTCCAGGTTCCATAATCAGAAGGCTTAACTATAAATAGGATCCAATTCTTCTTGGTCCCCAGTCCAACCTAACACCCTATCTCCAAGGTCCTTTTAACTTTAAAACTACTTCCAAATTATCCACAAGTTCAACTCCATAAACTGTCTTATCAGTCTGACTTAAACAAAACATAGAAAAACTTGCTTGCTTTCAAGGAAGTTACCTTGAACTACCCTGAGGTAGGCACTGAGGGCATGAAGCACCCTGTATACCCTCAGGAGGAACTGAAACCAACACCTGCCAAGTTTACGGCTAATGTTGCATACTTACAAAATGATAAAATATAGTCTAAGTTCCCATTTACTGCTTCACTTTTCAATTCAGCTTGAGAAAATACATTACTTTCAGGTAGACATCCATTTTCCTGGGGATAAAGCATATTTCAGTAATAATATTCCTCAGCTAAAAATATTTTGATATGCCATTCAAATCTCCTGTTTTCCCATTTCTTTCTATCACCATATTCTCTCATAATCCTTCATTTTAAAAAATCATTTTCTAGAGCAATACATAAATGAATAAATGAACTTTAGCAAAAGCTATGAGATGGAGTTCCAACATTCCAAATTAAATGCTTATCTTTAAATTCAGATAATCTGTTACCCTTAGAGTGCCTTCCTTCTACTACTATCCTTCCTTACTACTGAAGACACCAGAACAACTCTCTCACTCACAACAAAATAAAAATTCAATGCCTTGATCTAAAATGGTATTTTGGGGTATACAGTGAGGTAAAGATCAAATTTAATTTTAACTCCAAATGGTTAATCACTTGTCCCAAGATCATCATTTTTTAAAATAAGACATGAGCCAAAATTTAGCTCAAATATATTTATTAAATCATTGTATTATGGCACAATATTAAAAACCAACTAATCAATAACAAGCAATGAATAAAAATAAATTATGGTATATCCATACAATAAAACAGCATGCAAGTATAAAAAATAATTTGTGGAATTACATACTGTAACGAAAACATGTCAAAGGAAAAAAAGTAGGTTTTGGGGAAATAAAAATGTGTGGGAAAATTACTTTTTTAACAGTAAAATATGTATAGCATAGGCTCAAAATACTCTGCTAAATACTCAGGGAAGAGAGGTAAAGACACTCAAGATAAACTCTATCTTTAAGAGCATTGTCATTATGTAATTATTTCAAAGAAAGAAAAGAATACTCTGTTAGTATCAGAAAAAAATCAAGGCACTATGTGAATAAACACCTAGGAAACAGATTTTTTGAGCAAAAAAATTTTTTTTAAAGATTTTATTTTTCCTTTAGCTCCCAAATCCCCCCGGTACATAGTTGTGTACTTTTAGATGTGGGTCCTTCTAGTTGTGGCATGTGGGACACCGCCTCAGCATGGCCTGATGAGCGGTGCCATGTCTGCACCGAGGATTCGAACCGGCAAAACCCTGGGCCACTGAAGCACAGCGCTCAAACTTAACCACTGGGCCACAGGGCTGGCCCCTGAGCAAAATATTTCTTATTAAAGTATTTGGAGGGGCCGGCTCCGTGGCCAAGTGGTTAAGTTCGCGTGCTCCGCTGTGGCGGCCCAGGGTTCAGATCCTGGGCGCGGACATGGCACCGCTCGTCAGCCCACGCTGAGGCGGCGTCCCACATCCCACAACTAGAAGGACGTGCAACTAAGATATACAACTGTGTACAGGGGGGTTTGGGGAGATAAAGCAGAAAAAAAAAAAAAGCATTTGGTAATCTGCCATGTTGTTCCTAATTGTACAACCCTTGCTGATCCAATGCACTCTCCAAGTCAATTTCTTCACATGCCCCTTCATAAATGCCTTGCCTGTTCTTGTGGAGACAGGAGGTATTTGGTGGGAAAATAATGCTTTGGAGTCAAACAAAAGATTATTAAAAAAAACAAAAACAGAATAGTAAATACACCATGAGTGTATCATGAAAATTCCTATAGAAGTGAAAGGTAATATTCAAAACATGAAAATTACAGTTGCATTGTAGAGTGGGATTAAGAAGTGAATATTGGTTCATTTAAACTTTTCCTGAAATTGACCTATTGTCTTTTCAACACACAACAAAAATGCTACTTTAACCTTTTAAAATTTTCTAAGTTTAACCACTATAGATGTTAACACTAATATTTTTACAAAGCTTTAGAAAATTGTATACAGACAGACGACTTTTAGTCTTCAGCTCAATGACTTATGTTTTGGTTACCAAGATGCATTATCTGGGAGGAAAGACATTCTCTTCAATTATGAAATTAAGACCACACTTGAACTCACCTGCAAAACAGCACGAACTGATTTTACACTATCAAAACACGGAAACACGTAATTTACGTATGTCTCCTGGTCAGGATTTACTCCCATTTCATGCATTCCTTTGAGGATTTCAATTACACCTGTAAGATAAAATTTAGAAGCACAGAGATGAAGAACTTGAAATAAATTAACAAAAGATCAGCAAGTTCAGTTTATTTAACTTTCTAAAATTATAATGTACGAAAAGTACTTAGCATTTTGTTTGTCTAAAAGAGAAAGCAGAAAAGCAACAGAGCCAGGAAATAAGATGATAAACGAAAAAAATAAACTGCTCCTTTCTTCATCTCTCAATTCAGCAGTGAGTGCTAAGGAAATACCCTAGAAATTATAACGATAAGAAAGCTTAAAACAATTAAGCAATACGCCTAACATTTCTGGTACCCCAACTGAACAGAGATCATAAAAATCACTGTTGTTACAGAGCAATGATGGATCTACACAGTGAAACTTGACAAGAATAAATACTGTAGAGGGAAGACATTAGAGGAGTAGGGTGAGAGGAGACCCGTCAAAGACAAAAGTGGTTTTGTTTTGTTTTGTTTCATTTTGAAATGGTTACTGTTTTTTAAGCCACTAGGTTTGTTTTTTTTTTTAGGTATGCTTTTTGGTGAGGAAGATTGGCCCTGAGCTACATCTGTTGCCAATCTTCCTCTTCCCCCCCGCCCCCCTCAAAGCCCTGGTACATAGCAGTATAACCTAGTTGTAAGTCATTCTAGATCTTCTATGTGGGATGCCACTACTGCATGGCTTGATGAGCAGTGTGTAGGTCCCCACTCAGGATCAGATCGGCAAACCTTAGGACACCAAAGTGGAACATGTGAACTTAACCACTTGGCCACAGGGCTGAGCCCCAAAAGCGTTAAGTTAAGCACTTATGTAAAAAATGTCCTAATTGTTACTAACTTCTGATTTCATACTTCATACACAAGAATAAAAAACAGAGAACAATTGATTCTAATAAATTACTGTCTCATTATATTTAGAACTATAAAAATCTATTAAGTTGTTTGTTCCCTCTCTTCTTCCATTCATAAGAATTTTTTATTAACTTCTTAAAAGGACATTTCATATTTTCCAAAGCTACAGTTAGCTTGGAAAGGTAACAGTCAGTTACCTTTATATCAGATCAATTAATTCTAGAAAATTGTCAAACGACTCAGGTGTTAGGCAAAGGCTGCAGTTTAATAAAAGAAAGGACTCACTTATTTTCCTCTTTACAACTTACTTCTTTAGCCTCATTACTTTCACATTAAAACTTCCTCTAAAAGTCCCTGTTGTTGCCCAATGATATGATCTACAGAAAAATCACATTTCTATACATTTGTTATGTAATGCACTCTAGTACAAAAACTGGACTGTAAATTCCCACTGAGTACAGCAACATATAGGCAAGTCTGACCACATTATGAATATCTGCACATTTCTTTTAGATAAGATTCAGATTACGGATCAAAATATTTTAAATTTAAACAGTTCATTATATTTCAAATTACCTACTATCTTCAAAATCTTAGATGTTTAGATGTATTTTTCAAGATGTAAAAATAATAGAGCAAAAAAACCCAAAGGACAAAGCATTGTAAGTAAGAGCTTACTTATAAATTTAGGAGACCACGCATGTAGAGTTAGTCCATGCAACATAAACACAAGCATAACAATACTTGTAAGCAAAATTCAGAACTATTCCTCTAACAATTCACTGGGAATTAGTACTAATAACCTTTGTAACTACCACAAAAAATGGCAAATCACACTGTGTTCTTCTTCATATGCAAAGATTACTAAGCACTAGAGAGGAGGACAAAGCTAGCTGCTTTTCAATTACAAGTAATAGACCCGTGCTGATCTAATGTCTTTTCTGACCAATAACGATTGCTTACATGACCATGGTTTAAAGTAAATAGCTAGATTTCTGGTAAGACACTCAGTGAAATGACAAAACAAAATCAGGCTTTGGAGTTTAAAGAGACTTGCTCTCCACCCTGGTTCTGGCACTTAACAGCAGTGTAAACCTAAGCAAGTTACTTCACTTTCTGAGCCATAATTTCTTAGTTTACACACTAGGAATGGCAACGTGCCAGGAACTGTGCCTTCCAGACACTTTAACACATAACACTTGGCTTAATCCTTCTAACAATCATCCACAGATTAAGCAAGGCAATATATGTGCCAAGGCACTCAATGAATGGAACAGTTTTCTGAGGTCAGAAAGAGTCCATGCCTATTGAATGGATGGAAGTAAGTACTACAAATTGTAAATATTACCCACACGTATGGAATAAATTCTTGTGGTCTAGATCTAGAGAAAGATTGAGGGCAACAGGAAAAACAGAACCTGCTCAACAAAATGAATCCCAGCATCACAACTTAGTTCAGATCAGTATATCAAGCTCTTTACTAACAAGGTCTTCAGCTCACTCTATCAGGTGAGTGTACTTCTGTATGTAAATAAAGCTGGAAATGCCGTTAGAAGTCAAATAATCTTTATTTTAACAGAAGTGTTACAGTAAGTGATTTCTTCAAGATCAAGAGCATATCTTGAATTAAAAAATCATGTCTCCTAATTGCTGGCAGGTGCTTATAACACCTCAAAACTGCAAAAACCTACACCTTTTCCTAGAATCAGAAGAACATGGGATTCAGTCCTTACTCTGCCACCAAAAAGGGTGACCCTTAGCGGTTCCTTGTCTGTAATATAGGAACAATGACAGTAAAATTCCCTACTTACCTCTCAGGGTGGTCATTAAAATTAAAGGAACAAAATAAGTGTGAAACCCTAAAAATATTAATTACATGTTAATAGTAACAATAATGATTTAATTTTTTTAGCTGTCTTGAAATACTCTAATAATAATTAAAATTTCCTTAGATGACACAGAGTAAATGTAGCATAATGAAGTAACTATATATTTGATTTTCTAATGTCAGAAAATAGGTCAACAAATTGATTACAGATAGAAGATTCTTACTGCTGCACAATACACTTCCCCCACCATCTATGTCTCAAATACATTTTATTCTCTTAATTTTTCATTTTCCAATAATGTTTATCGGGGAGGAGTGCATTCTGCTCATTTAGAAGATCTGTGTTGCCAGTATTCTTAACTTATGTATCTTTCTAACTGAAACTAAAGCAGGGTTCAGAAACCCAGGGTTCATACGCTCTGCTGGGAAAAGCTCCGTCACTCCCTCAGGCATTCTGAGGGAGAATACAAAGATACTTGCTTCAAAAACTATAGTCAGATGGGAAGAGAGAAACACTTATCAATCAGGAGAAAAAAGGCGACTGCTCTGGCATATCTATATATATCTTCCTAAAAGATACAATTCATATTTCCTTTTAAGATAAGAAAAGATTAAAATAACCATATATCAACTTAGATAAACATGGATCCTAAACCTCTGAACTTAGAAAATCTAAACTAAGACTAAATGATCTAATAACAATATTCCAGATGTAGTCATGAGAAAGTTTATGAATCTAGTGGAAAGTCTCCATTCACAAAGTTTTATAAGAATTAAAACAGTTAGGGGCCAGCCCTGTGGCCGAGTTCGTTGAGTTCACATGTTCCACTTCAGTGGCCCAGGGTCTCAGTGGTTCGGATTGTGGGCGCGGACCTAGCACCACTCAGCAAGCCATGCTGAGGCGGCGTCCCACATAGCACAAGCAGAAGGACCGGCAACTAGAATATACAACTACGTACTGGGAGCTTTGGGGAGAAGAAGTTAGAAAAAAAAGAGATTGGCAAACGATGTTAGCTCAGGTGCCAATCTTAAAAAAGAAAAAGAAAAAAGAACTAAAACAGTTAAGACTGTTGGAAAAGATATATGGTTTACCCGAACAACTTTCACCAGCTATGACTGTTTACTCCACACGATTTTAGACTCTACCCAGAGGACTCACTTTATTAGAAGACAATTTCTAACTTTTTGACAAGTACCCTCTCTTCAACTACTTCACTCAACTGATGTTCAGGCTTTCATATCAGCCCTTCCTTATTTATTTTATCCTTTCCATATTCTTTTCTTTTTTTTTTGAGGACGATTAAGCCCTGAGCTAACTAATGCCAGTCCTCCTCTTTTTTTTTTTTTTTTTTTGCTGAGGAAGCCTGGCCCTGAGCTAACATCTGTGCCCATCTTCCTCTACTTTATATGTGGGCCGCCTACCACAGCACAGCGTGCCGAGCAGTGCCATGTCCGCACCTGGGATCCGAACCGGCAAACCCCGGGCTGCCAAGAAGGGGAACGTGTGCACTTAACCACTGCGCCACCGGGCCAGCCCCATGTTCTTATTTTTATGTTTTCTAAATATACCAAGGGATGTAGATCCTCAATCATTCTTAGTTATTTCCGCTCATTTAGGCCAACTTGCTAAAATTCTAAGTGGTAACTTTTCCATTTGTGCCACAGAGGAAAATAGTAGTAAGATGAGCCATGAGGAAGTCATTATATGAATCTTTTGTAGAGGATGGTGATGGCTAAATTTGCAAGCAGAAAAATTCTAGACTTCAATAAAATTTGATCATCTTTTTGTTGAAAACTCTTGGTTCAGTTTGATAACTTTCTTTGATTTCTTAAAGGGTTTTACTTATTCCTTACGAAACACTCCTCTATATCCTCCATTATTTTCTTCTTTCTACCAGTTTATACATGACTTTCCCCAGACAAAGAAGAAGTTCACTGCACTAATAAGAATGTTACTTTCTTACCTTACACTAAAGAAACTATAAAAAATGGACACAGCCATTTCCCTGTTACATGAAGGAAGAGTGTAGAAAAGATACTTTTCAGGACCCCCTGCAGGCAAAGGAGAAACTAGTTTTTTTTTTTTTTGCTGGAAAGATTCGCCCTGAGCTAATATCTGTTGCCAATCTTCCTTTTTTTTTTTTTTCTCCCCAAAGTCCCAGGACTTAAGTTGTATATTCTAGTTGCAAGTCCTTCTAGTTCTTCTCTGTGAGCTGCCACCACAGCATGGCTACTGACAGACGAATGGTGTGGTTCCACATCTGGGCACTGAACCTGGGCCGCCAAAGCAGAGCACCCTGAACTTTGAAAACTAGGCACTCGGGGCTGGCTCAAGAAAGTAGTTTTTAAAAACTGTAAAACTACTGACAATATCTTACACTCTCAAGTTACCTTTCTCAACTTTTGTACTTTTCCAGTTAAAACCTTCATTGATTAAAAAATTGGGCACCACTTTTTAAAATGTCATTAACGCAAAAACTGGTACCATAATTTTTAACCAACAGCTAAGAATTTTTATAAAACAAATACAGCATATACTTACAAATGTCTAGTATGGAAGTATTACGGTATTAAAAAAGAGTATCTAAAATAGGAGGACAGAAATCCTCAGTTCTAATCCCAGCACTATTTACAGCTAGATGTGGAACGTAAGGTCAGTCACTGAATCTCCCTGTGGCTCTCAGTTCCTTCATTAATATAATGTGAGCTTTCAACAAGGCACCTTTGAAAACTAAATTCTAAGACTGTAAGAAGAGATGATTCACGATAGAACCCACTTTTCTACAGTCTGAGCTACAACTATAGAAAGAAGTTACCTGAATTCTTTTATGTTTACTAAGTTGTAAAAATGTGGGAACCAATTCAAGTCTAGATACAATGATAAGGTTGAAAGCAAATTTACCTGATGAACAAACAAACATTTCAACAGGGGTACCACAAGTATTTTCATATCTGTGTAAAGGTGGACAATATTAATACACTCAAAGATTTTCATGGAACAGTATAAACTTTCTGTGGTTCAGAAATACTGGGTTAAAGGTTACTTCTTGGAGCTTTCAGAACTGGAGGATATACAAAGAGTTAATCAACAAGCACACTGTTTTCACAAAGATTTTTCTGAAAAGGATTTAGAGACTTTTATAGCCAGAAACAATTAGGGAATACTTGTTTCACTATTTCCTTTAAACCAGAAGACGGCTATATATTTAAAATAAAATTGCAATATGAAAGTCTGCTAAAAGCACTTTTTTTTGTTGTTCGTGCATTTTGTTTGTCACCCAATGTCATACTAACAACTCTGCATCTCATTCTAAAGCACATTATACTGCAAGATAAAGTGAAAAAGACCATTTTTTGTTTCCCCAAGGGGGAAGTACTTCTGTTAAAAGCATCTTTTTATGAGACTACTCTTTCTGAATTACCAATAATGCAAACCAAAGAATTAGATACTGTACTCTAAAATTTAATATTTGTTCAATTCTTATTCATATCCTATAGACATCCCATGTGTACAAGGGAAAAGTAAGCTAAATGCTTAAACGTACTTAAGAACCTGAAAGATTGAACATTTCTATCCTTCAATCAGCAGGCTGTCAGGTCATGAGTACTCACTTTGCAATAAAAGTTTCCCTGTCTTTCCTATTATTATAACTCAGCTCAGTTAAGAAGAAAGAGACGGTCCACAAAGAAAATGGCCTGATTATATAGAACTTTATCTTTAATAAGGCTAGACAAACTAATTTCAAACACTACACGTAAAATCAAGAATTAATGAGTTTTTTTAAAAACAAAACTAATAAACTGTTAAAACTACACTCACAAGTTTGAATATCAAGATCAGAGATGAATTAAAAATGAAATTAACGAAATTAAGATGAAAGAAATCAATTACATTTTTCTTTAAATGCTTACCTAATACTTTACTATGATTTAAATCAATTCTATTTTCTGAGAAGATCTAATATTCAGGAATAAGTATGCTTTCCAAAAGAATTCAATTAGATATCTGTAGAAACTGTAACACTGAATCTCTGAACCAAGACAAATCTGTAAAAGGTAAAATCGAACCTTGAACATTTTTCTCCTTCTGATATCCAACTAGCAACGGCCAAAAATAATGAGTTCTGACAGGAAAACCTTCTTCCTTCAGTGCGTTCATTAGAGCTTTTGCCAAATCTGAAAGAGATATCATAAAGTATTACAAAGCTACCTCAGCAAAACTCATTTGTGTCGGTTAATTATGAAAATACAGTACCGGGTTTATTGGCCAGTAAAGCACACTGGAGTGTGAACTGCAAAGCAGAGGTGTGCATCTGAGCATCCTTCAGCTTCTTACAGTAGTGCTTCAGCTTCTCCACAGGCTGGGAAAAAAAGGCACCACGTCAGCTGGATCTGCAAATATACCATTTGATCTCCTGCAAATATTCTACCACTTCTGAGATGGAAAGTTTGAACCTCTCATCCTTTCTACCCAATAATCTTGCAACACAAAAACAAAGTTTTCATGTTTATAACTGGTCTTAACTTCATAATATGTTCTTATATTTCGAAAAATCTTATTTCACTGCCTATTACACAGTCTAAAAAGTAAAAACAGACAGCATACCGTATCCATAGTCACACAGTGCCGTAAAAAAAAACTGCCAAAGTCATTCAGACCGTCTTCCCTTGATATAGGACATGCTAATAAAATCTGCAATGCTGTATCTTCCAATTTTTCAGTGACTAAAAGCAAAATGAGATTCATTGCATCTGGGAAGAAAACAAAGACATCTTTTGTTACTGAACTGAACAATATTTACACTGCAACCAACATGAATGACAAACTCAGAAACTGCAAACACCACAAGGACGCATCTGCCTACATAGCAATGAGACACTTCCAAATCGAAACACTCCCATGTGTCCGTCAGCTCAAGCTTTTCCAGCTTATTAAGCCGACATTAAAAGAGTCCTATGTTCATCTACCACAATCCCCTATTGTTAGAGAGACAAACTATTTCCATCACGTAAGAATAGTAACTCCACTTTTTAGAAAAATCATGAAAATAAATTTTTTAAAACTACCTGGAATATATCTTCTTTCATATGTAATTTTTTCCAAAATTTCTGAGACATATTGAGGATACCCAGCTTTACTGAAGCTAAAGATAATTTGAAATAAATCACGGTCCATAAGATAAAGATCAGACTTCTCCACCTTCTCCAGAGTCTACAGACAGTTCCAGAAAGTAGAAGAACAAGTTAGAAACCAGTGTTTATTTATTAAAAACAAATAAATTAAAATATCAAGATTAAAAAAGTTAGGAACACATACCATCTCAAGTTTTAGGACTTCTTTTACAAAACAGAAAATATTCTATTTCAACAATAACTGTTACATCAACATCAAGGTACCAAACTATAGTAAGAATTTTCCTTTGATACTATTGTCTATAAGATTTATCTTTAAAAACAGGTATAGGGGCCAGCTCCGTGGCCGAGTGGTTAAGTTTGTGTGCTTCGCCTCGGCAGCCCAGGGTTTTGCTGGTTTGGATCCTGGGCGTGGACCTAGCACCACTCATCAAGCCATGCTAAGGCGGCATCCCACACACCACAACTAGAAGGACCCACAACTAAAATACACAACTATGTACTGGGGGCCTTGGGGAGAAGCAGGAAAAAAAATAAATAGAGGAAGATGAGCACAGATGTTAGCTCAGGGCCAATCTTCCTCGGCAAAAGGAGGAGGATTGGCAGTGGATGTTAGTTTAGGGTTAATCTTGCCCCCCCCCCCCAAAATAAAACAAATTAAAAAAAAAAATTAAAATAACATAAAAACAGACATAAACTACACTTTTCTGCTTCACGCAAAACATAAGTTCATACAAATGATTTTAAAGTATGTTTATTTACATACCTGCTTAACATGGTCAATGTCACCCTTCTCAGCATATGCATTCAATAATGCTAGGTACGTATCTGGACCAGGCTCAATTCCAGCCTCTTTCATCACTGTTAGAATATTTTCTGCATTCTCCATATCTCTGTAAGTTAATTCAAAGAATACAAAACAGATTAGTATAACACTTCCAAATACAATGTTATCATTCAATCTAAAATGTATTACCCTATGTTTATCGAAATTAAAAAATTCTTATGTACCATTTAGAATCATAACATCAGAAAAAGATAAATACATATTAAACTGGTTATAGGTTTCTGAAATAATAAAGGTCATAAACATCTCAAATTTTTACAGATAACCATTCCAAAAGAGAGATCAGATTGTATAATAATTACACAGACATTGAATAACGTGCCCTCTTTCACTAAGGATGTTATGACCCAAATTTACCTTTTTAAGGAAGAATAATATTTAGTAAATTATTCTTCAAAAATAACAATATTTGCCAAGGCACCAGCACAGCAGTTAATAAACTTTACAAAGTCAGTTACTTTAGATTAGGCCCAATTTTAAAATTGAAAATTTTCAAATAAAAGTTTTATGAAACAGATAAGTTTAAGTGTAAGTTACTCAAAACTTTGCATGTTCGACCTCATGCACTCAAGATTTTTTTTGAGGGGGTACACAAAAAGAGTTTAAGAATTTTCTACAATAACTTTCTATAATTTAAACTTCACTTGAGAACAAAACCTTAGGTTGAACATTACCCAGCTCTTGCATGCCCTGTAACAAGGGCACTGAACACTGCCTCTGTGACTGGGAGATCCTTAGTCTTCATAAAGCCAAGAATCTTACTGCAATAAAAGAGAAATGAAGAAACTCCTTGGAAAGATACTTCAAAAATACCTTCTACCACACATACACACAAAATCTCACTCCCTCATATTATAGCAACAGTCTTAAAGTACTCTTTTTCAAACTAGGCAATTATTAAAAATCTCACTATTTCATCTATACCAGCAATTAACCTTTAAAAAGTATAAAGTTTAATAAGCTTCATTTAGTTAAAAATGAGACTGTACATTTCAATTTATCCCTTACTTCCTAAACCCTCCATCCAAAAGTAGCAATAAATTTTACACAAGCAGTGAAATGTCACAACTGATTTTATATGAATCAGTGAGATAAAGAGAATATTACCAGTTTCATAAATGAACAGTTTAAATGGCTAAGAACATTTCCTTTAGGAAATATTAATAATACAAAAAGTAAAGCCAGCTTTATACCTCAACAATTTTAAACCTCTGCTCCAGTAAATCAAATTTTTAATTAAAACAACAATTTTCACCTATCTTTCCCCCTTACCTAATTTTATATTTTATCTAAGTCTTATTACCAAATTTGCTAGAGCAAAACACTTCTGAAGTCATTTCCCTTACTAAGAAGAAACTTCTTAGGTGTACAAGACTTACAAATTTGTTTGCTTAAACACACATTTATGGAGCTCCATACCTGGCACCTTCAATGTCTCCTACATTACAATAAGCAGCAATCAACCTCTGGTATGTCACCTGTTAATGAAATGAGCCAGTTTATATTTTTCCAATGATATTTTTTTCTGGGTAAAAAAAAGTGACGTGACCAATACATATTTACAACAGCAACTACCTACTCGATTTGGTTGAATGTTTGCTTCCTCCATTTTTGCCAGGAAGTCAGTTGGTGAAAATTTATATTCATTTTGAAGGTAGACTTTAAGTAAAGCATTATAGTGACTTACATCATACACAGTACCTACAAATGAGATTTAAATCAAATTTTTAGAAAAGCACTTAAAATCATATCCATTATCATAGCTAAAATATGTGCACTTAAATTTAGCAAACACACAAAAAGGGTAAAATGATCACTTCAGCGTTTCACCCCATCCTTAGATCTATCTCTATAAAAGTCTGGTCAGAAAAGAGCAAGCTAAGCATATAAGACAGTAATTACCGAATTACAGTACAGTTATAAGTAACTGCCTATTCAGATATTAATGTCTCTTACTTATGAAGCAGAGTATTCCCTTCCCGTTAGAAAATGCTGACAATACCCTTGTATTTAAAGTGACTGAAAGATTTTTCTATGTAAAGCAGTCCTTGCCACAGTACAGACACACTAAGATGCCCAGATTGTGACTGAGGTTGTTTTATAGAGGTAGGACTGCACTGGCAATTTTGCTTATTTACTAACCAGGCTACTCAAAGACTTTATTTGAAGGCTCCATTTCCATGCTATTTCCACTTGCTAAACCACCACTTCTAGTCTACTATTGTTTATTACCTGTATTCCAAGGCCCTTTGTTTTCTTTCAGCGTCCACCCAGCCTAAGGCCACATCAATTAAGGTTACTATTCAGTCTTGCTCTATTCCACTCATGACTTGGTCATTTTATCAATCCAGTGCTAAACATGTTTTACTAAATTATGATGAACTAATTTTCATATCTTTATTCAAGTGCCCGTGGCCACACAAGCCTGTGATCAGTATCTGGTGTCAGTTTGAGATTCTAGGCAGCTGAGACCTATTCTACTAAATTAATTTTGTTTTTATCTTAGTAGAGATGTAGAGTGCTTACTATGTTTCAGGCACTGTGCTAGATGCTATGCACACAGAGGCTCAGTTTCTTTCCACAAACAGCCTTGAGGCAGGTTCTATCATCCCCATCTTACAGATGAGGAAAACTGACTGTTGCACTTGTCCAAGGCCACACAGCTAGTAAGTGACCACAGATCTGAATGCAGGTGGTGTGCCTTAAGCGCCTAATCTCTTAACCATTGTAACACTTTATACAGGGCCTGATAGGGAACCATGTGCAATTCAACATCTGCAATGTGATGATTATGCAACAAGGTTACCATAGAGTGTCTGAAAGCTTCTTTTAAAAAATCATTACCTCAAGCTGAACTCGAACAATGGTTGGCTATAGCTCTAAGGCTGAAGGAAACAATATTCTATAATTTTGTAAAGGCATTCACTCTAGTTTGTTGGAGAAGCTGAGGAAACTACTCAAAACCCAGAAAAGTAACATCTATTCTAGCTTTTCATACAAATTTCAGTCAAGATCAATGTTCAACATAACTCTACTGGGTTTCATTTCTTTATTTCTGTCACACTGGCATAGTTCTATGACGACAAAAATGTTTCTGTGAACTTCAGTAAAAATTTTTATCCTCATAGTTACTATTATGTCTGTTAATTTCATAGGTCATTTCTTGAAAAAGAGAATTTTTTTAAAAATACATATTGTATCTTTTGTAGTATGAATTAAGAACATCTAGAACTGTCTAAAATTCAAATTAAAAACTCAAAACTTAGAGACATAATCTTAAAAGATCCTACTTTAATAATCAAAAGCTAACAACAGCATTTCCTTATGTATCTTACCATATACCCTTATACTTTCAATAACAATTTCTCACGTCTCTGGCTCTGCTGTCTGTAACTTTTAATGTTTTGACAGTATGTTCTTGTTCAAACTCTGGATAATAATTTTGTACATTATCATCCACTTGCATTTATCTTATACTTATTTTGTTCAAACGTGAAGGGATATTCTAAAATATTCCTATTTTGTACAAAAGCCGGGTTTCCTGCCTAGATCAGAGCTCACTCTTTCATTGGTATAATTTGGATAATTATTCCCTCCTCCATGTATCACACTGTGCTTTCTCACAAGATTCATTTGCCATTTTTCTGTCATCTCGCAGAGCTTTAAAAATTATTTCTAGTTATACTAATTAGTTTGGCATTTTACTGTGCAAGAAAAACGTGATGTCATCTAAAAACTTAAAGATGTCACTATATGGTCCCCCTTATCAAGATCATAGTATATGACTATATTAAATATGGACCTGTCCTAATACCAATACTTAAAAACACATTTGCACCTTTTTGTTCAGAGTTGTCTTTATCCCTACCTTTGTCTCTAAATCAGAGTGCTACTGATTAAGGTTTTTTTCAATCCCAAATAAATTATTTTAACAGCATTTTATAAGAAAGTGTTTTCTAAAACACTTTTCCAAAGTAATTTAATCACTTTGTAAATTAACTTATCTTTTTCAAAATGTGATAATTCTCTTAGAGAACTTTTCCTTTTAAGTTAGATTCAACTGACTGCCCCCAAGAAGTGGAACTGGGCTGGGGATCATAGGGTGAAGCCTTGAACTATAAACTTTACTGAACCTTTTGAATTTTGAACGATGTTAAGATATTTACTATTTAATGGAGTAAAATTTAAATTAAAAAAAAAAATCAAGTTAAATTTGCCTGACCATCTTCTACCATTTGAATTAATACTACTTTAGTACTCAACATGTGCAAAATGCTGAAAAGTTCACGGGAAAGATTCAAAGATGATTAAGATACAATCATGAGCCTCCAAGAGAAGAATATCTATCAACACAGGTACACAATTCTAATACAAAGCAACTGATGGTAACACCAAGGGAATACGAGAGACAATAGTCTGGAGTGGAGATAAAACTCCAGAATGCAGGGATCTAAACCATGGCTTGAAAAACACGTGAAAGAGCGAGAAACAAAGGACATTGCAGACAAGATGAACAATATGAACAAAAATAGTTAAGGAGACTTAGATATTACCATAGTGTGGCCAAAGAAGTACAGCAGAGAAACTCTGTTTTTAAGGACTTAGCACATGGCAAAACTGAGATGACAGTCCACCACTTCCAACATTCCCCCCTCCAGTCCAGATGTCTCAATTCCAGTCTCAAATCTGTCAAGAGCTCATTCTGTAACTTTGGACATGTTACCTAAGCTAAAACATTTCTTACAACTTTACAAGTCTGTGAATAAGAGTCACGCTGGCAACCTAGCAGGCTTCTGGCAATATTAATTCAGTATTTATCAAGTGTCATATGTACAAAGCCTTGTGCTCTGGCAAAGAGGAAAACAAAGAAGTTATGGATTCTACCCTCACTAAGGATAAACATGGAATATTTAAAGGAAAATATGTTTGTGAGCAATTGTAATATAATAGACTATAATACATGTCTATCTTTCATTGAGGTGTTGACTGCTGTGTAAAGGCTTTTATGGATTTTAGAACATAAACTTCTCAAAAGTATTTCTCCCAGTTCAAATGTCCTTTTTAATTACATGACTTAATGACATACATTTCCAGCTTTTATAAAGTCAATTCTTTTTTTTTTTAAAGATTTTATTTTTTCCTTTTTCTCCCCAAAGCCCCCCGGTACATAGTTGTGTATTCTTCGTTGTGGGTTCTTCTAGTTGTGGCATGTGGGACGCTGCCTCAGCGTGGTCTGATGAGCAGTGCCATGTCCGCGCCCAGGAATCGAACTAACGAAACACTGGGCCGCCTGATACGGAGTGCGCGAACTTAACCACTCGGCCACGGGGCCAGCCCCCATAAAGTCAATTCTTTATCTTCACTTTTCTGCTGCTTTTACACTTAGAAAACCCTTTTCTATTCTGAAATCCAATATTTATCTCTATTTTTTTAAATTTAGAAAAAATGAAAGTCATCAAAATTAATTCTACATAAATTAAAAACTGTACAATGAAGCTATCTTTATTCTACACTTTATATAGGTCTACAGATTTCTTGAAAGATAGTCTTAGATACTTTATGTAATTGTGCTATACTTAACTGGATCCTTTTATCCATTTTATTTTCTAACTAGGAAAAGTTATGGATTCTTTAACATTTAATATGTCCAACTACTTAACTGTAAGCTGATTTACTGGGATTTTAAAGGTAAATAATCACATCGCCTAAAAAATAATTTCTAAGTATTTGTTTCACATCTTATTTCACTGCCATTATACATGAAACTAGTTGCTAGCTTTAGATTTTAACATGTTAAAGAAGCATCCTTCTATTTTTTATTAGGATTTTTTAAAATCAGGAATAAACACTAGATTTTATCAAATAGTCTTATTTTTTGAACAGGTGCTACATTCATATGGTTCAAAACTGAAAAAGCATAAAATGGTATAAAGTAAAAATTGTATCCAGTTTTCATCACTCTTCCAGAAATATTTTAATATTGTATGCATATATACAGATTGTTTCTTCAAAACGGTAGCATACTATATTGTTCTGCACTTTAACTTTTATTTATATTTTGGAGAATATCCTCCATTAGTGTACGACTGAGCTCAAGCTCCTTCATTTTTTAACAGTTGCACAGTATTCCATTTTATGTACAATCCATAATTTATTCGTCCAATCCCCTAGTGAGGAACATCAGAGTCAGTTCCAGTGTCTTTGGACAACAGTGTCTTCTGTTACAAACAAACCGCAATGAAGAATATCCTTTTGCATATGTGAGCATATCTGTATCTAAATTCTAACAAAGCAACAGCTTGGTCAATGGTGTATGCATTTACAACTTTGACAGACCAAATGCCTTCCTATTTTGTTCTTTTTCTTTTTAATTTACCATAAAAGTAATACTTGTCATGAAAATTATTCTTAATGCCCCTAGATGTCACTATAATTCACCAAATCATATTACAAAAAAATTACAAATCAAGTAGTCCTTCCATAAATTTGAATTATAGCATTTATGTAAAGAAACTCTTTTTTACTAAAAGTGTCTACACCTTTTATACACAACATATATTCAAAGAATCATACCCAATTTCTGAAGTTTGTCCCATATCCTATGGGCAAATTCTGTTCTCTCTGAGAGCTTTAGTTCAGGCAACAAAGAACCACAGCTGCGCAGTAGAAGCAAGGCTTGATTACCACCCGGGCTACCTATGAAAAAAGGTGAATGGATAACGTTTAAAATAGTACCAATATCATACAGATAAATATAAAAACTTAAACTGAAATCTGTAAATATTCAAAAATCTCCCATTTCACTAAAGATAATACAGTACTGGGAGTCCCTGTAAACTAGAAAAATCCTATCCTAATCCACAAGTATCATTTACGATGTCACTAAAAGTTACAAATTTTTACTCTTCTTTCTTAAGAAGCTAGGGTTATGAATCCATGTAATCTGCAAGTCTCTATAGAATACAAAAATACAAAGAACCTAATTTATAAGCAGTTTACTGCAATTCAAAGACTACCCTTCTCAGTATCTCAAGAAAAACAGTACAAATCAGTATAACTAAAACCCATGAATATGAAATTTAGGTTTATAATCAGTTACCAAAAAAAATCAACTTCCTTCTCCCTTTATCCATGACCTTTATCTACACGTCCCTGAAAGCTGACTTTAAAATAAAACAAAAATAAAAATAAACCACTTATTGCATGATTCCATGTATATGAAGTATCCTGAATAAGCAAATCTACAAGGACAGAAAGTACACTAGTGGTTGCCTAAGGCTGAAAGGGATGGGGGTTCTGGAGCTGAGGCTAGCATGTGGAGGTTACTTTTTGGGGTGACGAAAGTGTTCTAAAATTGATTGTAGTGACAGCTGTACAACTCTGAATAAATCAAACAGAGAAAATGATAAAACAGTCTTTAAATGCACTTAATTTTAACTGATACCTCTTTGGTGTTCTTCATCATTAGATTCTAAAGCTTCTTAGCATGACTGAAATCCAGGCATGGGCTTTAAGTAGCTGATGAATGCTCTGAAACTATCTGCAAAATTACATGTGTGTTTGCACGTGGGCTTTGAGGGGTGGGGGCAGTATAGGACTTACAAGCTTCCAGCAGATTATCAAAGTTGCACAAGTGACTCAAATAGATTTTAATAGCTAAGTGAAAATGAAAGGGAAATAATGATTATCAGTCTTTCTAGAAATTTGCCATATGTGATCATCTTAGGGAAAGCTGACACTACACAATGAAAGATAAGAAAAACTAATATCTTTCAATTTGCCACTGAAAGTGACTGTTTTATAAACTGTGGAAAGCAAAGACATTTTTTGTTTGCTGATTTTGAAATAAATATCTGAAACAATGTTTTAGTTACACAGAACTTTGCCCTAATGAATTGGAAAGAAAGACCACAATCATAACATAAAATCAGGAAGGATGGAAAGAACAAAATTAAAAGTAGCAAATAACACACTCTACAATGAGTTTGCCCCCAAACAAGTACTTATGAAGCTCAACTTTCTGAAGAGAACACTTTGAAATACCTGAGTGGCAGGTGTTATCAAAGACTTTCTGTAGAAGAGTCTTTGGGATGCGGCCAGTTCTTCTGACAGAATTATCTAGTCTCATTAAAGCCCAATCAAATTGACTGGCATTCCTTCTATGTGAAGAAGTGGGCTCCTCTTGAAGATAATTCTTTTTTTCAGCAGCAATGGCATACAGCCTGGCCTGGCTCAGTAGCCCTCTATAAAATGAAACACAATTAGTAATAAACTAAGTCCACTACTATCCATATAGATCACCTTTTTGAGCAAAATTTATACAAAGTTTTTTTATTAGTTACTAAATACACAAATTCATAGTGCAATAGCAAAAATGCTCAGAAGTATAAACTGGCAGGAAAGAAAGTTTTGACTTTTACTTTAAGTAAAACCACATGCACACATGCAAATTGTATGCAAAGTAAATCTCTTGAATAATTGTTGGACAGTACCTTGATAACCTTCCACATGGAATGATTTCAAGTTAAGACACTAAGACAGTGTGTTTTTAAGTGTTTTTTTGATCTCCCTTAACCAAAACCAGGTTCATGAAGGAAAATGAAGCAGTTTATGCTACAAAGCTCTTCTCACCTCTATAAATGAGACAAGAGACTAAAATATATCTAAAATTTTGATAACTACTTTCCAATGTTTTCTAGGTAAGCTCATTACGAATTTAAAAGATCAATGTCCAAGTTAAAATCATGCAGTTTTTTAAAGGATCACTCAGGACAAAAGAATTTCCCATCTGTCCAAAAGAAACAGATGTTAAAAAAAAATATGATGTTAAAACAGATGTTAAAAAGAGATAATGTTTCAGTTCTCAATTCATATCTGCTTTTCATCTGTCAAAATGCTAGTTACATACTTTTCTAATTACTTTAACAACTGCAACCATCAAAAATAAAACTAAATTTCTGGTGTTACATATCATTAATTTTCAGGAAGTCAAAAGAAAAAATGTTCACAAATTAGGTAAGGTCAGACTAGTACATGTATATTTATAAAGAGCAAACAACCTTTAAACCATTCAATATTTTAACTATAGAGTCTAACATGCAAGCCAAATGCTCTAAAGCATGAAGTCAGAGGTTTTCCATGTTGTAGACATACAGATTGTACCTGATTTACAAATATCAGACTTAAAAATAACCCTTATGTGTGAAGGAAACCCTGTCATAAATCTCTGAATTGAATCTAAACTTTCTTTGCATTCAAATATCACTTACACAAAATTTCTAATTTGCAGAGATTTACATATTTACTCCAAAATATCTTAAACTTTCCAATAGCAGCCAGTAAGTATAACTAAGTAATATACACTAAGCATATATTAACTAAGTATAATGTAAAAATACTCTACTTATTAATCCAGGAATGCCTTTAGGATGACAATCACATTTTCTGGCACACGCACATTTTTACCTCAGCCAATTACCAAATCAAATATTTACATAGTAGTGAGTTTAAAAATGAAACTGTTGGTTTCCTGTCCTATGTTATTAACCTGGAAAACCAGTCACAAATTGAATGATTAAGTATGTGATGTTACATTAAAGAAAGCTACACCATTAAGTTTCACCATAAGGTTATATAAAACACAGAGGCAGAAACTGATACTAGACTAGATAGTCTACCACCGTAATCTGGGACAAATTACAACCACTCCGGCCATCAATGATGCCACCTATGCAAGTAAAAAGATTGAAAAACAAAAGAAAACATCAGGATACCAACGAAATAAGACAATGTCTTATCTTTATGAACCTAATGACAGCATGTTGTAGATGGCTAATTGATTAAAGTTTGCTAAATAAACTGAATTAATCAACTGCTAGATTACTACCTAAAACCACAGACGATACACTCCTACATACAATTATCCCTTATTTTCAAAGGTTTTCTCTGGCTATTTATCCGGCTACTGGATCAGCTGTTACCAAATTATGCCCTTGTTAGTCAGGCAAACACAAAATAATATTATTTTAAATCATCCAAAACAATGTGTCAAGTCCAGGTTAGTATACAATAATATTGTTCAACAACAAAGGTCACTTAACAGAGAGATTTCAAAATCATAGTGAAGTACATCTGCCAAAGTTTTTTACAAAACCCAAATCTGATAAACTATGAAAGACCATAAAAATAAAGCCTTTGTGGCTTAATATCCATAATATATAAAGAACTCTCATAACTCAACAACAAAACATCAAACAACCCAATCAAAAAATGGGCTGGAGACATGAACAGACATTTCTCCAAAGAAGATATACTGATGGCCAATAGGCACATGAAAAGATGCTCATCATCGCTGATCATCAGGGAAATGCAAATCAAAACTCCACTAAGATATCACCTTACACCCGTTAGAATGACAAAAATATCTAAAACTAATAGTAACAAATGTTGGAGAGGTTGCGGAGAAAAAGGAACCCTCATACACTCCTGGTGGGAATGCAAACTGGTGCAGCCACTATGGAAAACAGTATGGAGATTCCTCAAAAAATTAAAAATAGAACTACCATACGATCCAGCCATCCCACTACTGGGTATTTATCCAAAGAGCTTGAAGTCAGCAATCCCAAAAGTCCTATGCACCCCAATGTTTATTGCAGCACTGTTTACAATAGCCAAGACGTGGAAGCAACCTAAGTGTCCAGCAACAGACGAATGGATAAAGAAGATGTGGTACATATATACAATGGAATACTACTCAGCTGCAAAACAGAACAAAATCATTCCATTTGCAATAACATCGATGGACCTTGAGAGAATTATGTTAAGTGAAATAAGCCAGCAAGAGAAGGACAATCTGTGTATGACTCCACTCATATGAGGAATTTAAAATTATGGACTAAGAACAGTTTAGTGGATACCAGGGGAAAGGTGGGGTGGGGGGTAGGCACAAAGGGTGAAATGGTGCACCTACAACATGACTGACAAACATTAATGTACAACTGAAATTTCACAAGATTGTAACCTATCAATAACTCAATAAAAAAAAATAAAAATAAAAATAAAGCCTTTGCTAAAATGCAGTTTTAAAACGTAAGATCAGGGGCCGGGCCAGTGGCACAGTGGTTAAGTTTGCACATTCTGCTTCGGGGGCCCGGGGTTCACCAGTTCGGATCCCGGGTGCAGACCTACACACTGCTCGTCAATCCATGCTGTGGCAGGCATCCCATATATAAAGTAGAGGAAGATGGGCACGGATGTTAGCTCAGGGCCAGTTTTCCTCAGCAAAAAGAGGAGGACTGGTGTCAGATGTTAGCTCAGGGCTAATCTTCCTCAAAAAAAAAAAAGTAAGATCAAACAAACAAACATATTTCAGGCAGAAGACAGATGTTAATAAAGCAGCACAACATTCTAAACATTCTACAGCTAATTTTTCCTACAAATAAATCTTCAAGGTAGCCAAGTCTCCTTCACATAAGTGTGCTTGGCCTTAATTACAGTTAGGTTGAAATATGAATTCACTATACAATAAATGGGGGTGAGGAAGTGTTACATATTTAATTAAAGGATTCTTCACTCTTCAAAAGGATTCACCAAGTGCTTCCCTAAGTGACGGTTCTTTCTACATTTATTATTTGGCCCAGAATTTTTCTTAAATTCACTTGAACACACACTGAAGGAACAAGAATTTCATAGCCTGGAATAATAGATAAGTTGTGACAGAAAGGAAAGAAAAGAACAAGCCCAGGGCTTAAGGTGGGTCCATACAAGGCTAGCTCCTACCCATCTTGCACCAGCTGGAATGTACTGCCTCCAAATTCTGATGACCAACTCTGATGTAACCACATAAGGGAAAATTTTATTATCTCATCAAAGCGTCATAAATGGCTCCTTTACATTTTTGAGTTAAACGTCTCAGGCTCCCTCCTGAGACTCCATAATCACCACTAATATTCAGGTTACCCATGAATTTTCTCTGGCATTTATTTGTTTTTCTGCTGTTTTTTTTAAACTGGTGATGACGGTTTTTAACTCTTTAGTACAAAAAATAACGATTTTAAAGTTCAGTGTTCATATTTCAAAATGGTACAAGGACCTGACTATCATAAGCAGGCTTCCATGGGACTCTCCTTTTAAGCTTGTACTTTTTAATTAACATTTTACTGTTTGAAGGCATTTTTAGGTTTACAGAAAAATTATCCAGAAAGTACAGAGTTTCCATACACCCTCTTCCCCCCCACTCAGTTATTATAAGCCAATTTAGCATCACTTTGGAGCCATCAGAGTTTAAAGGAGGATACAGATACACAGTAAATAGGTGTAATCAGTCGTTAATGTTTATTATGCATTTAGTAATACATGCTAGGTAACGGAAAACAATCCTGATTTCACAGATAAGAAAACTAAAGCAAAGTGCCCAAAGTCATAATAAAAGCTAGATAATGACAGGCTGACAGGGCCAGGATTTTTACTCAGCCAGTCTCATTCTGAAATGAGTTCAACATGGCGGAAGGGCATCAAGGAAACCAATCTGGCTGAAACAGGGGATTCACACTGGAAAGTGGTAAAAATTAAACCTAGGCAGAGAAGGTGAGACTAGAGAATGGAATGCGTCCAAAGGCTGCTAAGTAAGGGATTTGGATTTTATGACAGGCTTATAAAATATAAGACTGAGTTCCAGAAAGCTGCTTTCTCAGCCTATTTTGTTGTACCATTCTGCAGGCAACAGGGATCTCAAACTTTTATATTCTCACCAATCCCTTATTTTAACTATTCCACTTGAGTTTTCTTTAGCCTGCTGATATGATTGATTACAATGATTGATTTTCAAATGCTGAGCCAGCCTTGCACACCTGGAATAAACCCAACTTGGTCACTGTACATAATTTTTTATACATTTTATACATATACCGATTCCACTTAAGTTTTAACATGTTAAAAATTCAAAACGATAATGACTCCTCCTAAAAATGGTTGGTACTCCTTTCAAATTTCTCCCTTGCTACCAACCACACCACTACATTGTTCCTTCAAGCACGAAATCTTAGGGTAATTATTTTATTGCTCAATCCCTCTCACCCTTCAAACCCCATTTATCGAGTCTTCAAATATCTCTTTATTTCTCAGTTCCTTGCTCAATCCAGAACACACGGATTTTTCCAACAAAACCCTAATTAGTTTTTCAGACTTCAGCTTTTTTTTTTTTTTGAGGAAGATTAGCCCTGAGCTAACATCTGCTGCCAATCCT